TTTCTCTCTTTAGCTCCATTCTCCATGTATTTTTGGTCGTCCTTTATTTCTATGCCCCTGTGGGTTCCAATCCAAAACCATTCTAGTTATATTGTTCTCAGGTTTTCACAACGGTGTCCTATCAAACGTCAGCGACATTTCTTCACCTCTTGGTCCACTGGAACTTGTATAGCTCTCTCCCAAAGCTCCACATTAGTGATTCTATCATACCACTGAACTCTCTCTTTTCTGCATAGGCACCAGTTAATGAATGTTTGTAGTTTATTATTAACTGCCTTAGTTTTTCTCCATAAAACAGTACCGATTTGACATTAGAATAAAATTTTTTTAGTTCAGTGATAGTTTTAATTTCCTCTGACCTCCACAAATCTCCTAGCGCAATGAAAGCTCCTCTTGCCTTTAGTATTTCTATTTTAATATATCTATGAGTTTCCTCCACCTTTATCTAAATTACTGCCCAAGTAGATGTACGACTCCACATCTTGGAATGAGATACCCTTAAGAGAAACCACGTTACTCTTTGCCTAATTTATTCCTATTATCTTGTCTTTCCCTTATTAATTTTCAGACCAAGCTGTTGTGATTTCGCATCTATTTTTAATTTATCTTGCATCTGATTCCGTGAGAGAGACAGAAGATAAATATCAGCAAAGTCCAGATCATCAAGCTGTTTTGTAGAGATTCCCTAAATTATTCAATTCTTGGTGTTAGCAGTTGCTGTCTTCATAATCCAATCTATTGCCAGTAAAATTAGGAGAAGCGACAAAAGACATCCGTGTTGCACAGGCGGTTTTATTTCAATTCTATCTGTTAGCTTTCCCTCATGAAGAACTCAACATTTCATGTTTTTATATGTTGCCTTTACTAAGTATCAATTTTATGTGGGATTCCATAGTGCCCTATTAATTTCCAGACCCTATCAATGCTTTGAAAAGGCTTTTCAAAGTCTATGAATGCAATGTAAAGCAGTGAATTCAATTTATTTGCTCTGTTCGATTATTATATGTAATGTGGCTCAGTGGAATCAGTGAACTTCATATTTGCACAAAGAAGTGAATGTTGTGACTGGACAAAAAATGAATATACAATACCACGAATACGAACAATAATACACAAAAAACACTTAACTGAAGCATTTCTGAGATAATTGACATATCTGTCTGGCCAGCAGTATCTCAGGTGTTAAATATACATCATCATCATGTGCCCTGCCAATTGGCATAGGTGCTAATGCATCTCCACAGATCAGGATACCAGGTTGCCCGGAACAGTTCTCTTGATGATATCACCCATGCCATTGTTTCAGCCCATCCAGCATCTGCTCTCTTGGTCTGCCTCTACCCCCTTTTCCACTGATCTTTCCAGTTGTTATGATGTTAAATATACATATATATATAAATATATAAAAAAAAAAAAAAAAAAAAAACTTGGGATATTCAATCACAAGAATGAAAAAGACAACAATGAAGTAGTAAATACATTTTTATTTCATATAATGGATTGAAAAATATATATGTATACATCTCACAACTGTATTCTCAAAATGTTCTTTCCAAATCGCTGTTAAAACAGTTACCTTCGTGCATCTTACATACACAGTAACAAAAAGAAAAACTAAAAAACATTCTTGTCACACATACAAACATGCAAGCACACACATGCATACAATGTGGAATGTTCAGATATATAACACATATAATCACCCTGATCGAAAGATAAGACATACTGTATCCATCATATTCTGTTGCTATATATTTTACAAATTGTACGTAATTTCTCAAACTAAAACACCATAATGAGCAGTTGCACAAGAAGTGTCACTGGAAAGAAATTTATATGTAAACAAAAAAAAGACATTCCATTTTTGTTTCACATTGTAAAGAAAACTGTTAGAACAAAGGTAATTTATCTCAACATGTCTGAATTACCAATTCTGTTTTAGACTATGTCCCTACCGTAAGACACCGTTCACAAACCACAAGATGATGGGAACACGGTGGGAGAATCAGTGGTAGCAGATATTTATTTACTGAGATATTTCACACATTTGAACATAAGTCAGGTCAACCAAATGGAATGTTGAAAGTCTGGAACATGTGGAATGTTGGTGTTCATACAGTTATGTACAAAACAATCATATGTTTGTTATTTGAAAAGAATAAAAGATCAAAGATCAAGCAGTAGATTACAAATAACAAAGGATTCTGAATGTTATTCTTATATAAATCTTCTAACCCAAGAAATTTGTGACTCTCTTCTTCTTCTTGAATCCCATCCATCCTATCATGTGTTCCCTGACTTTTACATTTGGTTAGAGGATACTAAAACAAAAATCTGGCTTTTTCAGTGACCACTTCCACTAAATATTTAGTCACACTGATCTAATCTATACTCATTTTCTCTTATGACACATTCATTCATTCAGTAGCATGTCCCTCGCGGAACCTCGCTGCCATAACAACCCTCCGGAAAACCTTCCTATCATGAGCAAGATGTCCTGCGTCTGATACACTATGACACATTAGGCATTCACAAATAATCTCCACTGATGCTGCTCTGCTGCTTTTCTGCCCATGGCGACCAATACCAGTTGACAAATTTCTCCCTCCAGTGTCTTCCTCCAGGTTTCCATAAGTTGTCCACGTCACCTTTTCCCATCTGTTGTCCACCTATGACCTGTCCTTGCCAATTTGTCATGTGTCCATCCTTTCATAATGTTTGCAAGTGATAACACTTTTTCTCCACAGTTCTCCATCTGTGATCTTGTTTGGTTAAAATAATTTGTAGTATTCTCCTTATACATTTATTCTGAGAAGTCTCTAGTTTTAGTAATACAAATTTTTAAAACTCTGTGATCTAATGCACTAACTATTTGTCATAGAGGTGATTTCCATCCTGGGCCAGTATCTGTGAAGCAATGTGGGACTTCAAGAGCAAACATTTAACATCTCTTGCAAAAGAAACAAAAAGAATATCCTTTTGAAAAGTAGTTTTAAATTTTTAGTTGAAGCAGACGAACAAAAATAAAAGAAGCGGAAAGAATACTAACAAAAATACAAAAAAAGAACAAAGAAAATATTGAGTAAAGAATGCCAGACTGAATTAAAGAAACTAGTATTAGAATAAACAAAACGAAAGTTATGCTTAAAAAGAATTAGAAGGGAAAACTTGGAAAAAAAAAAAACAAAGCAAGGCATCCCTGAATAAGGTAATGATGAAAATATTCACTTCAATCAAAAACAACAATATATGTACAGAAAGATCTTGTTTTCATTTTTATTCTCAATAAAAATATGAACATCATTCAACTCTGAAAGCTAAAATTCTACACAGAATCATAGTAGATCTTGGTTTCGAAATAAAAACAATATAAACATTTCACTGTTTACAAAACAAAATATACAACACAGTGATCGTGTATAACAAGTTTCAAACAGATCACATGAAATGTATTGAAACAGTTTTATAAAAGAAAAAAAAAGGAGAAAATGTTATTTACAAATGAGGAACAAGAAAAGTTCTTGATTTGAAACAGTGGAGAAGATAACAATGCTCTGTAAGTGATTTATTTTACAGCAGTTATGGGACCTATAGCATAGACATGTTTTATGCATATGTATCCCAAAGTAAATAGTTTTGGTGGCAGCAATTTAAAGATTTGTAATATTCTTCTATAAGTGGGACAGGAATGATTCAAGTATTGAGATGGATTTGTGGGAACATGATGTCACTGACTGTGTTACACGGAGTGGATAAATCAGGAAGGGAATAAGGACTACAGGAGACCGGGATAGATAAGAGTCGAGCATCTGAGGATGTTAAATATACAATGGTCCTGAAATCCCACGTTCTAACTCTGGAAGACTTTTCTTCAAGTGAGCAGATCTTGCTATCGTCATGGTCTATGATTCCCAGGCACCCCTACAGCACAATATAATACTATTATCTGCCAACAATAACAGTTATCTATAGCAGTAACTTCATATCTTTAGAGGAATTTCATTTAAACTAGTAAAGGATGGACCTGTTTCGAAACTTTTAAATTATTTAAATTATAAATTAAAGTATTTAAATTTTTCATTAAATTTTAGGATCTTGCATATCCGGCTGGTTTCTAGGCTAGGGATTACGGGCTCTGTTGCAGTTCCCGTAGAGAAGGTTTTTAGTGCTGGGTTGGGAGGAAGCATCTAAAATAACTTCTTTGATACATACATGGAAGCCATTTACAGGTTTTTAATAATGGAAATAGTTATTTTTTTTAGAAAGTTGAACACCTGTGATTTTTACAGTTTTGTGTGTGTTTCTTTTGTGCATCCTACCTACATCTTCGGTGACTGAAAGAGTTAGAATGAATAAAGTGGCATACAGTATGCTACCTGCACTTTTGTAAATAAAAGATGAAAAATTTAAAATGAGCTGTATAGCAGTTTAGAATATTTGGTTATCAGAGCATGATCACAGGTTATTAAAAAGCTGCAACGGAAAAGAAACAGAAAAAGACATACACATCTCTTATTTAAGGTATAAAGTATTAGGAGCATCTTGCACTGTAATCACCAAACAGACACTCAAGTGGGAAACAAATGGACTGTGAAACAAGGACATCCATAAAAAACCCTAAGATGACTGTTGATGAGAGAGGCTAAAGATGTTGAACAAATTCCATCCATGATATCAGAAAGACTGCACAAAACAGAAATGGAGAAACAGACTGCGAGTCTTCATATGCGACGTTAAAAAAGATCAAAAAGATGATGATGATGATTTGCTGTAATAACCTTTGAACTTATTAGCATGCACACCTCAGTGTTAAAAAAGATATTTTCATGTTTGAATATTACACCTGCACTCAAATGTCAGCATATAAAAGACGGGCAAACAAAATCATTTATCACCAAATTTACGCTCAACACATCATACGTCACATATTAACATAACAAAACAGACATATAAATACACCAACATGGGAAAGGCCACTGAACATACACCGCTGAAGGCAACTACCTATTCCGAAGTAATAACCTTTGAACAATAAACACGGATACCAGGAAGAAACAAATGCTAATACCAGCTTGTGCGATTGTGGCAGCATTGAAGTACGGGCAGTACGGGCATTGGTAGGAGCCGCACACAAAACAAATGTTTAGCAGGAACAGGTTCCTTGTGGTGTACATGGATGTGTTGTGCATACCTGAGAAAAGATAAGTGGTAGAGAATCATTACTGTGATGAAATTCTTGTACTCCAATCTTAAACAAAATAATAGCAAATATTATTATATGAAACAATTAATGCATGAATGAATAAATCAAAAACTGACATCACTTCTTTTTCTTCTTCTTCTTCACTTCCTCTTTTACCGCTGTGGGTGTCGAGGGAGATATAAGGTTCTGTTTCTAGCTCTTCTGGCTGCCTCGACCATAGGTACATCGTGCTGTTGTAGAGTTTCTCTGATGTTATCCTTCCATCTTGTTCTTGGGTCTACCCCGTGCTCTACGTCCTTCTTCTCTTTCCATGTATGCTTTGTATGGTATGGTGTCAACAAGGCATTCTCTCTAAGTGGGCAAACCATTTCACTTCTGTCTTTGTATGTAATCCAGAATTGGTTCTGTGCCGACTTGTTCTCTTATGATCTCATTCCTGATCTTATCTCTTATGGTCACTACCTTCAGACCCTTCTCAGACATCTCATTTCCATGGTTACTAATTTTTCTTTTATGGTTTGTTTGTGAGTGACCATGTCTGGCACGGAAGGGAGGAGGGGGTAGCAAAGAGTTGGAATAAATATGCTTTGAATAAGATGTCTCTTTGTGCTGATTGGGATTGTCTTATGCTGTAAGAGGGGGGCTAGCTGTCCCAATACTTGGTTTGCTTTACTGCATCTAATGTCAATTTTTTTATCCAATTTCCCATCTTCGGTAAATGTAGTTCCCAGATATTTAAACTCAGATGCCTGTTTAATGCCTTTGTTCTCGATTGCTATGTTTAGATCTGTCTTCTTTTTTCCTATTGACATTTACTGACATCACTGCACTCTAGAAATTCCCCTTCTTCAGTAGCCAAAGAAGAATCATCGTGTTATTAATACCAGTTGCAACCTGATTAAAAGTCCGCCTCTGTTCCCCCCTCAATGCTGAATATCTTCCAGAACCACTACACACTCCCCACTGAATTATTCCTTCAATGTATGGAAGCAAATGATTCACTCATGCCACTGACAGATGCAAGCCTTTTGTAGGCATGGTCTAAATGACTTGAAAGTTAGTGCACTGGATTTGGGAGTTTAAACTCAGCCTTTCTGGGGGCAGAAATAATTATTGTTCTTCTTCTTTTTCAGCATTCAGAGCCCTTGAGGTTCATTGCTGCAGATATCCCCCGCCTCCATTCATTTCTCTGGTTGGCCTTCTCTTTTCAGTTGGCAGTTGGTGACAGCAAGTATTTGCAGGTCTGTCTGGATGTTATCTCTCCATCGTCTTCTTGGTCTTTCTCGTGGTCTATGACCATTCATCTCCCTCGTGTATACAGTTTTTACTTCTCTGTCATCTGACATTCTTTCAATATGCATAATCCCTTTCAGTCTATTAGCTCTGATGCCAGTGATCAGTGGTAATTTAAACATATTATGAATTTTGTTGTTGCTTCTCCCTCTCCATTCACCACTGTTTGCATATTTGATGGGTCCAAAGATTCGTCGTAAGGTTCTGTTTTAGAAAACCTGTAATAAGGCTTTGTGTCTTTTAGTTGTGCTCCAAGTTTCAGAGCCATATAACATGACTGGTTTTATTAATGTTTTTTATATTTTGCTCTTGGTGTTGAGAGACAGACACTTTGACTTTAGCAGAATTTGAAGGGCATAGTATACTTTATTTCCAGATTGTATTCTAGATTGTATTTCTTCTCTCAGCATGTTGGAGTAGTTGAAGTTTGCACCCAAGTACTTATATGTTTCCGTTCGTTTGATTTTCAAATAATTAATGTTTAAAAAATAAAAATAAATAAATAAAAATTGCTTTCATGGCTGAACTTCTGCCTCATGCTCTGAAAACCATAGGTCTGTTGTTAGACTACAGTGCTTAGTTCACGAGTGAAACTACTACTTCTTCTTACAGTCCATGTTGTGTGATGTTTATAGTTCATGTCCACCCATAACCTTCTGTCTCGTGTACTTTCAATCAATTCTGACACAAATGGTCTTCCATGCCCTGAGGTCAAACTGTTCAGAATCTTCTCTCTTGGTCTTCCTCTGCATCTTCTTCTCTCCAACTTTTCCTCACCATCACAATGTACTCCAGTTTTCTTCTTCCCATGGCACGACCAAAGAATGTAGACTTATTCAGAAGTCCCTAAAGTTCATCACTAGAGCTTCAGAGTTTGCACTGTCTTTAAAAACGTGGCAGATGGCCAGCCCCTGCAGAGAAAAACCAAACCAGATGGGATAACACATGCGATGCGATGAAGTAGATCTTCTTACTTTCTATTATGTGAAGAAGCAGAACATTCTCACCTATACCCATCTACATTGGATCTTGTCTGCACTGTATCGGTTCACAGAGGAAGAGACTGCGTTTTTTAAAGTGCAATGTCAATAGTTCATCCCTGTGTGGGTCTCTATGTGGGTTCTGGGGCCCAATTTTGAGGGAAGGAGGAGAACGCACCCGCTCCCCCTAACAAGCATGTCACAAAAGATGACTAATGAAGGGCATTTCCTTCAAAGTCAGAGTGCATCTGTCTTTGAGGTAAGGAACCAGCAGTCTGCATATAAATAATTCTTACCTGTAAAATTTATGTGCAAGCAGAACTCAAGTTCTGAAACAATACTTAAATCCAGAAGTGGATGAACAGCCAGAACTTTCCACTACAGTTTACAGCTGGTGAATATGAAGTAGAAGAAGAAGAAAGAAAAAAAAAAACGACCAGTCTAAAGCAAGTTTATAGAAATGTTATGGAAAATAAAGATAGATTTATTTCTTTTTTTCCTTTTCTTAGCACTCACTGGCTGTAAACTCAGATTGGCTGGATCTGCACCACTGGGTGGTGAATTGATACATGACAAGGCAGATATGGTTAAGGCCCTTTGGGAACAAGCAACAGATCAGTAGAGATAGAAGATTATTATAGCCTCGAGAGAATGAGGCATTGGGTGTAACCAGATGGTCTGGCCGGCTCACGACGCTCAGAGGAAAGGCAAGAGCGACATATAACCAGATTGTGACCGGTACCATAAGTACTTGAACTCTCAGCTGGCTGCTGAAAATGAGGATGGAGCACGCCCCGAGTGCTGTGATGTCAATTCTTGACTCAACTGGCTGTAAACTCTGGTGGAAAATTCAGATTGCGTTCTCTATTTTCTGTTGTTAATTTACTCAGCAGAGTCAGGATTTGGGTGAAATATGACTGAATACACCAATCAGCAAGGCACTTGATGATGCTATTTATGAGAGTAACTCATTTGTGCACGGTGACTTCGAGTTAATTGATATATAAAGTATGGATGTGGAACCTGAAGATTCCATGAAAGAGAATCAACTGATGGTCAAGCATGTGTTTGAGCAAGAAAAGGTGACAACATCCATCATAACAAAGTATTTACCTGGCTCATAGTAGTCATACACTCTCATACGGTGTTGTATTGTGGAATTTGCAACTGGAAACCAGCGGTCAGCTCTGAAGTACACACAAGTTTTGCTTGCATCGAGCTGTCAGGGATTGTTTAAAAAAACATCAATGTTCTTTAATCAAAATACGTGGAACAAAGAAACATTAAAATAACTGTTTGCTTTAATTAAAAGATGCCTGCCCCTTTTTATTTAATCACAGTCCCTCCCTATTTACGTCATCAACGTGGAACAAAGAAACATTAAAATAACTGTTTGCTTTAATTAAAAGATGCCTGCCCCTTTTTATTTAATCACAGTCCCTCCCTATTTACGTCATCAACCTGTCTCCCTCGATTTCAACAGTTCTGACCACCAAGGTGAAAATGATATCTCAGTCACTGCTATTATATCCTGCTCTGGTGATCAAACCAGTCACTACTCATTAGAAAGTCATTTCATCCATAGTTTTGACATTCTTAGTTCTGAAGGGATCCATATAGAACAGTTTTACTTAACTTTATTTACATGTTCATTTATTTAACTTATTCATATTTCTTCCCCTCTTTTCACAACTGCCTTCTTTTTCATTTTGTTTTGTATTATAGCCTTCATATTCATACTTTTACCTTTCCCCACATTACGTATTTCTTGGTTTCAGGCTAACCTTCATTTTTTATTAGCTCTGTTGCCTTGCCCATTGAGTTTTCTAGTCACAGTTTGTGCTGTATTTAGTACTCTGTTGAAAAAGACTTTGGTCGAAACGTTTGGTTGTGTCTGTGTGCATTTTATCCATTACCTCCGTTGAGCTTTCTAGTCTCATTTCAAAGGCAGTTAATTTTTTGTTGTTCTGCTTATGCATAAACAAACTCAACAGGAAAGAACAAACATCAATTTGTAGGTTTCGGACAGGACACTGTATTCTTCAAGCACACCTGCACAGGAGAGGCATAAGAGATACTGCTTCCTGTGATTGTGGAGCAGAAAGACAGACCCCAGAGCACATACTGCAGTACTGCCCTAACTTCTCCCAGCAAAGACTGTGGATCTGACCCAAGGGAGAGTTACATTGCAAGAAAAGCTATGGGGGGCCGGTGGAGACCTTAAACGCACAATCCTATTTGTGACCCAGATGGGACTCAGTGTTTTGGCATGACTGAAGTTGAACGCAGATGAAGAAGAAATTCTGCTGATGAAGACTTACTGCCACAGCATCCTTTACTTGTCTATTGTAATTGGTCCTGTAACGTTTACATAAGTTTTTCAAATTCTTTTTTGACTTCCTTTAATGAAGGTGATAATGTTATAAACAGTCACACTGAGGGTTCAAGACCAAAGCTTTTCTTCTCCAAACATGATAAATGTATATGTACAGGAATACACAAGAGAAATCTATAAATTCATTCAATTTTGAAACTTGCATCCTGGAAGGAAAGGTCAAGGGCAAGACAGCAAGAGGCAGACACTGATAAAAGTGGGAGGACAGATAGACAAACAGCAGTCTGAGAGAGTGTACAACCAAGACAAGAGACACAGAGTGTTGGAGATCCATTGCGGCCAACATTCACCGTGAAGACGGCAACTGATTGACTGATCATAGGATTTACATATTCAATGTAACAGAAATCAACAAATTCATTTACAGCTTTCAATAAATTTATAAACCTGTTCATGGGACTTACATATTCAAAATAGAAGACAACTTTTCTCTCATAAAATTCTGCCCGCCTCAGATTGTTGACCAGTCTTGACCTGACATAATCTCGAAGTGTATCGTTCATAACGATATAGCCAGTGGGGATTTCAACTTCTAAAACAGAGAGTCCAGAGGTCAAACTCTTCTCCTGATACAGCCAGCTAGAGTAAGAAAAAAAAAACGTAGACCTGTATGATCAAAATCTGTAACAGAAATGGTTTTCTTCTTTTACCCTTTCTCCCCAAATGAAGTAAAGACCCTCAACCAACTCAATAGTTGGCTTTTGTGGCTACTGACTTTTGCAGGATGAGGTAGTTATTTAGTTTAGTTTAGTTAGTTTATCAGCCAACCCCTAACCCAGTCCTAACTATAGTCATCTCAAATGACATGCCTGGTAGGATGCAGTGTTACTATTCTGTGCTTCCCGTGGGGGACCCCCATAACTCTCATGGGTGAACATGAATTGTAATAGAATGTAAACAATTTCTCTATAACAATAATATCCACTCAGGAATTTCATATCAGATGCTCAAAGGGGGGAGTGGTGGAAATGTGGGGAATAGCTACTATAAGAGTAAATATTCTTCTTCACTTCTTCTTTAAATGGTTTTACTATCATGGGAGATGTAAGGTTCTGTTTCTTGCTCTTCTGGTCGCCTCAACCATAGACACACTGTAATGCTGCAGAGTTTCTTTGATGTTATTTTTCCATCTTGTTCTTGGTCCAACTCATACTCTACATCCCTCTTCTCTTGTGGTGCACGTCTTGTATGGTACAGCGTCACAAGGCACTCTCTCTAAGTGGGCAAACCATATGATCTGCTGCCTTTGCAAGTAATCTAATACCGGTTCTGTGTCGAATTTTTTCCTCTTATGACTTCATTCTTGATTTTGATTTCTTCTGATCACTCCTCTAGCCTTTCTCAGACACAAAAGAGCTAGCTAAAGCACAGTCAAAGTGGCGACTGGGAGAGTTGATCTCTTGAAAATATTCAGATCAAATGTAAAGTTAGAGATGAGATTATTCAGTGACAAATTCAAAGAAATAGGTTATCACACTTTCCGTGTGATTTCTGTAGTCCTTTTTTGGGGTTGGGGGGAGATAAAAGAAACAAAAAAAATAACACACCCTTAACAAGCTTGTCCTAAAAGGTGACTAATAAGGAATCTGCTTATTTTGGATGTGCTGGGCCGAAAGGTGCAGATAATGCAGCCTAGCTGTAAACCACAACCTAAAGCCCCTGTAAGGGTGAATACAGAAGAAAGAAAAAAGAAGCCACATATCAAAATAAAGTGTGTATACTTTCAGACTCTTTGTAATGCGGGGTGCCGGGTTCGATCCTAGCTGCGGGCCTTGCACTGGTTTCGACAGTGGTATCGAGAAGCCGACCGTCCAGAAAGCAATGGCAAACTACTGGACGTAAACTTGCCTAGGAAAACCACAGCAGCTAAAAAATGCTGAGGTTGGTTCTGCAACGTCCTGTAAAGGATACACAACTTAAAGAATACTTTCAGAGGATACAAAAGCACACTCAAAGTGAGACCCAGATTCCATTGGTTTGCATAGATCCTATTTTTCAAAAGTTAGAGACCATATTAATCAGCAAAATAGATGAATTGATATTAGGTCAATCACATACATGTTGCGTGGGACCAGATGAGTCAAGAAATATCATCGAGTCCTCATGCACTGAAACATCTTACCTGACGCAAGTAGTCATTTCCATGATGGTGTCGTTTCTGCCCCGGAAAGACAGCAGATCCACATAGAGGTCGAAGAATTTAATGACTTCCTCATTTGGGTCATTATTCACATGCTGGGGCTTCTTGAGCAGCCAAGGATACTCAACGTTCACAGTGGTCGTCAACTGATGGTACAGAAAGGACACAGTTAATTCGACAGAAAGGACACAGTTAATTCGATAGAAAGGACTGAAATAGTTAATCTGTTAGTCTTAACTCTTTGAGTACCAGAAGGTTTTACCGGAGATTTCCATATGTATAAATAATCAACAGGAAAAGCCATGAATGTACTGCATTCAAAGATCTAAACACTGGGGAAGCCAGATTTCTTCGTATACTGTGACCAACTATGAGGACTAGAATATATTACATTTTGGGTGGGATTAATCACACATCACACGTTGTTTGGGACTGAAAGAGTTAAGGACTAAGCTGGTGCAGAAAGAAACTGACATTTTTTTTTCTACTTAAAAAAAAAAGAAAAACAATAGACTGCAACCTTTAACTGCCTGGCATTCTACACTGTATCTCACCAGGTTATCTAATCTCAGCAGGAGGTTATCTCACCAAGTTATCTCAGCAGGTTATCTCAGCAGGAGGTTATCTCACCAAGTTATCTCACCAGGTTATCTAATCTCAGCAGGTGGTTATCTCAGCAGGTTATCTAATCTCAGCAGGAGGTTATCTCACCAAGTTATCTAATCTCAGCAGGAGGTTATCTCACCAAGTTATCTCAGCAGGTGGTTATCTTACCAAGTTATCTCAGCAGGTTATCTAATCTCAGCAGGAGGTTATCTCACCAAGTTATCTAATCTCAGCAGGAGGTTATCTTACCAAGTTATCTAATTTCAACAGGAGGTTATCTCACCAGGTTATCTCAGCAAGTTATCTCACCAGGTTATCTAATCTCAGCAGGAGGTTATCTCGCCAAGTTGATATCTAATCTCAGCAGGAGGTTATCTCACCAAGTATCTAATCTCAGCAGGAGGTTATCTCAGCAGGTTATCTAATCTCAGCAGGAGGTTATCTCAGCAGGTTATCTAATCTCAGCAGGAGGTTATCTCAGCAGGTTATCTAATCTCAGCAGGAGGTTATCTCACCAAGTTATCTAATCTCAGCAGGAGGTTATCTCAGCAGGTTATCTAATCTCAGCAGGAGGTTATCTCAGCAGGTTATCTAATCTCAGCAGGAGGTTATCTCAGCAGGTTATCTAATCTCAGCAAGAGGTTATCTCACCAAGTTATCTCAGCAGGAGGTTATCTTACCAAGTTATCTCAGCAGGTTATCTAATCTCAGCAGGAGGTTATCTTACCAAGTTATCTCAGCAGGTGCATTACTACAGAAATCCATCTAAATGAGATGCAAAGTTAACTTCTTCTTCTTCTCTTTCACCTTTTTACCTCATCAAAGTGTCGGGGGAAGATGTAATGTTCGTTGGTGAGCTCTTTCAAGAACACTATTAGGACCTATGTTAATTTCTGTAAGGCTGTTCTTAATGCCATCACTCCATATTTTCCGAGGTCTTCCACTCGCTCTATACCCGTTGTAACATTTTAGTGTGGCTCGCTGTGGTGGATAGTACCAGGGCATTCTTGTTAGGTGTCCAAACCACTTCATTTGTTGTTCTTTGATGACCTGTAAGACTGGATTTATTCCTAGCATTCGTCTGATTTCATGATTTCGTATTCTGTCTTTCCTTGAAACTCTTGCAGCTCTTCTAAGGCATTTCATCTCAAAGTTAACTACAATTCAAAAATAGCTGACTGTTTTATCAGGACGAATGCAGGTTCATGACCATGTCTTTCTGTTTGCAAAAATCTGAATGAAGCAATTTATCGTGCGCTCTTCAACAAAACAAAATACAGCAAAACATGCCAAACAAAAAACTGTGCAATCTGCAGTTTATGTCTTTGTTAAAATTTACAATGAGGAAACTGCTCAAACTGATTAACTTGTCAGAATATCTGTAGGATTTAGTTGGTGCACGAATAACTGATATTTATCAACTTGTTACAAGATGTCCAGGACTGGCTCGATAAAAAAACAACAACAAAAAACAAACAAATGCCTTGATGCGCATCAGAACCAATCCTTTTGGGCAGACAGGCTAAAATACACAACTGTGGCTTGCTCAATATGGGGTATATTCCATTTATAAGCTAGAAGGGTTGAACAGTGTATTCATCAAATGACTACTACCACTAAAGTGTAGAATCTCACCTGAAGCAGACCTCGTCCAGTTCCCTGGGCCATTGGAACTGTAAATCCCCAAACTCTGTTGTATGGCAGCTGCAAGAGAACAAAATATATAAAGCACTATAATTGTATAACATGCAATGAATATTAATTACTGTGCTAGCAGTATACTTCAATACATTATTTATGTGCCATGACCATAATAAAGATTGTCTACAGTGGATCTATCACATTCTCTGTCTCCCATTCTAGTTGTACACTAACAGACATGTTCATTCATCTCTTGATGTTATTCTTCACTTATATCAATGTCCACCTTTTGCCTGCTTTCCTTCAACATCTCCATTTAGTACCCATCACCTTTAGGTGGGGATTTAACCCAGACTCGGTACGCAGAGGTACTGAAGCACACACGATGGTGTGAAGCACACACAGAGGTGCTGAAGCACACACGATGGTGTGAAGCACACACAGAGGTGCTGAAGCACACGTAGAGGTGCTGAAGCACAAGCAGAGGTGTTGAAGCATAGGTGGAGGTGCTGAAGCACAGGTGACCATAATAAAGGCTGTCGATGGATCTATGATATTCTCTGTCTCTCATTCTGGCTGTACACTAACAGACATGTCAATTCATCTCTTGATGTTATCTCTCACTTATATCAATGTCTATCTTTTGCTTGCTTGCCTTCAACATTTCCATTTAGTACCCATCACCTTGAGGTGAGGATTTAACCCAGACTGGGGATACAGAGGTGCTGAAGCACAGGTGGTGGCGCTGAAGCACACACAGAGGTTCTGAAGAACACGCAGTGGTAGAGAAGCACAGGCAGAGATGCTGAAGCACAGGCAGAGGTGCAAAAGCACAGAAAGAGGTGCTGAAGCACAGGCAGAGGTGCTGAAGCACAGGCAGAGGTGCTGAAGCACAGGCAGAGCTGCTGAAGCACAGGCAGAGATGCTGAAGCACAGAAAGAGGTGCTGAAGCACAGGCGGAGGTGCTGAAGCACAGGCAGAGGTGCTGAAGCACAGGCAGAGCTGCTGAAGCACAGGCAGAGATGCTGAAGCACAGAAAGAGGTGCTGAAGCACAGACAGAGGTGCTGAAGCACAGGCAGAGGTGCTGAAGCACAGAAAGAGGTGCTGAAGCACAGAAAGAGGTGCTGAAGCACAGGCGGCGGTGCTGAAGCACAGGCAGAGATGCTGAAGCACAAGCAGAGGTTCTGAAGCACACACAGTGGTGCTGAAGCACAGAAAGAGGTGCTGAAGCCAGATCCGTGAAAAATAGATCTGCATACAACTCTAAAGTTCCAATCATTAGAAATATCCAGCACGACAGGGACAACATCATTGACCACATTAATTTGTCTATATTTTAGTTTCACATCTAGTACTGTTTGTTGCAGTCTTAGGAGAAATCTCTTGACCCATCACAGATGCAAACAGCAGAGAATAGGGAGTGAGAAGCATGAATAAAATTCATAATCTGTTTGAAGTCACTACTAATTACTGGCATCATGAGAACTAATAGACTGCAATGGTTGATGCATATAGGGAGAATAATAGATAACAGATAGATCAAAACTGGATACAAAAAGAGTTAAATAAGAGTTATAAAGAGAGGCAGATATTGGTACAATGGAGAGATAATACACAGGCAGGCCTACAAACGGCTGGAGTCAACAGCTGGAAAGAGAAGGAAGGCTAATTATAGAGATGAAGGTAGGCCAGTGATATCAGATTTACTGATAAAAGAATCAACATCATAGCACACCCATAGATGTTGTGTCTCCCGCAGCAAATGACGTAAGGTGTAGATGCTTACTGTTACTGTAGCACACTGATTATTCACACACCGATCTCTTACTCTCATCCATCCCTCCCTGCCGAATCTACACTTAATTCCTTGTTCACACATTCTTGCCCATGTTATTTCATCTTCTTATCGCGTTCTCATCTTCTTATCGCGTTCACCAGTAGTAAACTCTGGCACAAAGTTCCGGTTGTTCATCCACATTTGGACTGCAGTCCTAGTCCCACAACCTGAGTGTTGTGTGTGCATCCGTTTTACAGATCTGACTAATTTGTATGCGTTATTTCATCTAATCTCGCGTCTTCTGCCAAAATTCATTCAGATAAGGTCTTTAGAATATCTCCCTTGTCCAAAACGAGTGTTCCCATAGCTTTCGCTTTTGTAGCCATAAAATCCGCTCTTTCAATCCCTCGCACTCCTTCATACCCTAGACCAGACAGTATATCCACATGATTCCCTGCAATGTTCGCAATGAACCTCCAGGATGCTGAAGAAGAAAAGTGAAGGACTTTTACATGTTTGGTGTAGTGGATACGTGGCGACAGACACATATTTTATATAGACAAATCAGCATGCCGGCCACCATTACTTCTCGAGCAGATTTTCTGGTACACATTTTAGTCTGGGTCAATCAGGAAGTCCTAAACAAAAGTGTAAAAAATAAGCCTCTTTACAGATCTGAACCCAAGACCTTCAGGTAACATCTAGCCACTATGCCACCACAACAATTACCATATTTTTCAGTTTATAAGACGCTCCCATCTATTTTTTCCATCTAAAAAAACAATTTCAAAACTATGTGTTTTCCACCTTTAAAAAAAAAAAAAAAAAATATTTCAAATACACTCTGTGTATAAGATGACCCCCATTAAAAAAATTTTTGTTTTTTTTTTAAATCTGGGAAAACATATTGTCTTAAACATGAGAAAAAGTATGGTATATCTGAGGAAAATAAAAGCTGTCCTCTTACCGGAGCCTTCTTGAGAGTCACATAATTAGTCTTATCCAGGTGAAACTCTGCAAGCCAGTTTGGAGTTGCCGTGGATTCTACTCTTGTGATCAAGTCAAAGACGTTCCGGTGTTGATCTATTTGTGTAAACTCAAACAAAGCCTCCATGGCGACAATAGTATCCTGCAGATAAAAAAAATTTTAAATATAAATACACACGTAAGTTTGAGAAATGTTCAAGAAATATTCTTCAGGCGACCAAGAAAAATACAATAAGAAAAAAATAATAAAAAGAAGGCTCTGTGGTGTTCCATGAAACTAGCCAGCAAGGCTAACCTGAACAAAAAAAGCTCTATAGTGTTCCATGAAACTAGCCAGCAAGGCTAACCTGAACAACAAAGGCTCTACAGTATTTCATGAAACTAGCCAGCAAGGCTAACCTGAACAACAAAAGCTCTATAGTGTTCCATGAAACTAGCCAGCAAGGCTAACCTGAACAAAAAAAGCTCTATAGTGTTCCATGAAACTAGCCAGCAAGGCTAACCTGAACAACAAAGGCTCTGCGGTGTTTCATGAAACTAGCCAGCAAGGCTAACCTGAACAAAAAAAGCTCTATAGTGTTTCATGAAACTAGCCAGCAAGGCTAACCTGAACAACAAAGGCTCTGCGGTGTTTCATGAAACTAGCCAGCAAGGCTAACCTGAACAACAAAGGCTCTACAGTATTTCATGAAACTAGCCAGCAAGGCTAACCTGAACAACAAAGGTTCTACAGTATTTCATGAAACTAGCTAGCAAGGCTAACTTGAACAACAAAGGCTCTGCGGTGTTTCATGAAACTAGCCAGCAAGGCTAACCTGAACAACAAAGGCTCTGCGGTGTTTCATGAAACTAGCCAGCAAGGCTAACCTGAATAACAAAGGCTCTACAGTGTTTCATGAAACTAGCCAGCAAGGCTAACCTGAACAACAAAGGCTCTACAGTATTGCATGAAACTAGCCAGCAAGGCTAACCTGAACAACAAAAGCTCTACAGTACCCCATGAAACTAGCCAGCAAGGCTAACCTGAACAACAAAAGCTCTACAGTACCCCATGAAACTAGCCAGCAAGGCTAACCTGAACAACAAAAGCTCTACAGTACCCCATGAAACTAGCTAGCAAGGCTAACCTGAACAACAAAGGTTCTATAGTGTTCCATGAAACTAGCCAGCAAGGCTAACCTGAAGAACAAAAGCTCTACAGTGTTTCATGAAACTAGCCAGCAAGGCTAACCTGAATAACAAAGGCTCTACAGTGTTTCATGAAACTAGCCAGCAAGGCTAACCTGAACAACAAAAGCTCTATAGTATTGCATGAAACTAGCTAGCAAGGCTAACCTGAACAACAAAAGCTCTATAGTGTTCCATGAAACTAGCCAGCAAGGCTAACCTGAACAAAAAAGGCTCTACAGTATTCCATGAAACTAACCAGCAAGGCTAACCTGAACAACAAAGGCTCTGCAGTGTTTCATGAAACTAACCAGCAAGGCTAACCTCAATAACAAGTTCTATGAAGTGTTCCATGAAACTAGCCAGCAAGGCTAACCTGAACAACAAAAGGCTCTATGAAGTCAGATGTGATGGCCCAAAGGTGCAAATATCCCAGCTATGCTATAAACAGGCATAATGCAATTATGTCACTAGGACAAACATGAAGAAGAAACTCCAGGCTCAATGGGGTTTTAAAGACACGACCATTGGGTCAGCATACTAGCCACTGGTAGACACTAACAGTCAGAGGAAAGGTATGATAGACAAACAATCAAACCAGAGGAAAAGCATGATGGACAAACAATCAAACCAGAGGAAAGGCCTGATGGACAAACAATTAAACCAGAGGAAAAGCATGATGGACAAACAAACCAGAGGAAAAGCATGATGGACAAACAATTAAACCAGAGGAAAGGCCTGATGGACATACAATAGAGGAAACTGATGGATCAATCAAACCAGAGGAAAGGCCTGATGGACATACAATCAAACCAGAGGAAAGGCCTGATGGACATAAACCAGAGGAAAGGTCTGATGGACATACAATCAAAACAATCATCAAACCAGAGGAAAGATGGACATACATCAAACCAGAGGAAAAGAATGATAGACAAACAATCAATCCAGAGGAAAAGCCTGATGGACAAACAATTAAACCAGAGGAAAGGCCTGATGGACATACAATCATACCAGAGGAAAGGCATGATGGACATACAATCAAACCAGAGGAAAGGCCTGATGGACATACAATCAAACCAGAGGAAAGGCCTGATGGACATACAATCAAACCAGAGGAAAGGCCTGATGGACATACAATCAAACCAGAGGAAAGGCCTGATGGACATACAATCAAACCAGAGGAAAGGCCTGATGGACATACAATCAAACTGCTACAGCTACCATCTGAACATGAAATGTTCACTGACTGCTTAAAATGGGGATGGAGTACTTAAGGGAATATCCTAAGTGCTGTGATTTTGGTTCGTAAGTTATTTGTGTTGCCTTTTTAGGCTTTGCAGAACCAAACCCAACATTTTTGTTGCTGCTGTTTTGTGATTTCACTAGGCAATTTCAAGTTTAGTAGTTTGCCCCTGCTTCCTGAACGGTCAGCCCTTGATAACCCTATTGAAAACCAATGCAAGGCAGTCTGCTGGAAACCTGTCTGCAGCTGGGATTCGAACCTGGCACCACGGAATTACAAAGCGCAATAGCCACACCTCAGCGATAGAGGCAGACTACCGGTACCATCAGTATTGGAACTCTGCGCTGGCTGCTGAAGATGAGGACGGAGCATGCATGGGAATGCCCCGAGTGCTGTGATGTCAATTCTTGACCCAACTAACTCAACTTAGCGACAGACACAGACTCTGAAACTCCTTAACTCTAATAATGTAGTAATTTATCGAAAACTATTATTTCAACACCAGAGACAGCAGCAGGAGACAAGGAAAGATAAGATGGCTCAGCGTCAGTTAGCTGGTGGTGAACGCGTGAAAAGGAAATGCATTCATCAGAAGAGAGAAAATCCGACATATTTTTAAACAACAAAGATGGTAATACCTGAGTAGATGCAAATCCTCCAATAGTGTTTCTCATTGTGTTTAACCAACTCATCATCATTTGCATCTCATACTTGAGGGCCTTGTTGTTGTTCATGTGGGCCATAAAAGCATACGCTGTGGTCTGGACAGCATACCCATCATTCATCAACTCCTGCCGAGCCTTGAGGTAACGTACATTGTTCAGGAAATCATACGGATTCTCGTACACTTTTTTATCAGCAAAGTACACAAAGTCGGCTGAAAAAGATAAATAATAATGACTGTTATGATAAAGACATTTCAGACTTCCGTTTTCAAAATGACGGATAGCAGCGGTGTTTATTTTCTCTAATTGTCAATTCTCTTGGATTGTTCTGTTTCCTAATCAGGGACTGCCATTTTGTGCGCATTTCCAATGCAGAATACTATGTGTTTTTGTGTGGGAGCAGCATGTATTGTGGTTGTTCTCTATGTCGGGGCCGGATATAGGTTTGGCAGCCTCGACTACGCTGCCTTTGCGATGTTTTGCAAAGATAATCTCATCAGTAGGGGACTGACACTGTCTAGACTAGAGAGCAAACTCGATAAAAACTGTCCCAAGAAATGAAATGTGTCAACCAATTTTTTTTTGGGTGGGGAGAAATCGACACATACAGTTAACTCAATGGCCATAAAGACATTTCTAAATTAAAAAAAAAAAAAAAAAAAAAAATTATGTGTGAATCTACTGCTTATGATATTAACATAAAATTATACATGACATTTCCATGCATTTAATCAGGGGAAAACTGTATCTTTAATTTAATTTTCATGGAATGAATACATGGAGTGAAGAAATCAGAGACATGTCTGGGCAACCACTGGTATTAACAGTTATAAGACACCCCCCCCCCCCACCCCCTTTCATTTCCCAGTGGAGTATATGTTCTCAGTCAACCCATGGCCAGGCCAGTCCAGGGTTAGTTGGATTTTGCAGCTGTATTTAAAAATTTTATTTAACCTACCCGGTTCTATTTACATCACATGCATTTTTATCTAATTTAAATCAGTTGGGTGTCCTTTACGGGATGTTGCAGAACCAACCTTAAGATCGTTCAGTATTTTGCCTCTGCTTTTTGAATTGTCAGCCCTTGATAAGTAAAGTAAAAACAAATGCAAGGTTTGCAGCTGGCAATACACCTTATAAAGTGTGTTGGTTGCCAGACATTTCAATGCTAATAGGGTGTTGCGTGGTCTCAAGGCATGGTGTCAGCCTCAAGTGCTAGAGGTTCCGGGTTCAATCCCCGGTAAGGGCTAAGATTTTTTTCATTTGGACTTGGAATTCTAGTCATACCCCAGGTGTCTGGGTAGTAAGATCAGACGCCCGTGTGCATTGTTGTTGCACATGTAAAAAATTCCTTGGCAGTTGGAAAATGAAAGAAGTGGCCCAATAGTTTTTTCAAGACATCCTTATTACTCTTTTCATCTGTCCAGTGTATTCTTATCATTCGTCTATAAAACCACATCTCTGCAGCTTCCAAATAAGGTGCACTAATCTACCAACTGTCTACGATTCACTTTAAAAAATCAAGATACAATTTTTATAGCTTTTAAGAATTCTCTTTCTCGTCTCAATTGACAAAGATTGCACAAAATATTTTTCATTTTGTAAAATGCTGCCTTCGCTTAACCTATTCTACACTTGATTTATCTATAATACATCTTCCATCTGATCTTTTCAGGGTACTCCAGTACTTAAACATATCAACTTGTCTAAGGTTTGTTTGGACTTCTAACATGGTTAAACAAAATGAGTACTTTTGATTCTTTAAAAAAAAGTTTTAAACAAAACAAATATTATGATACAAATAAGGATGCTTACATCGTTTCTGCGCTTGCCCCACAACAACTCAAAAGGACTTCTCCTGGGTCCAAGAGAGAGAGCATATGTAGATATAGCCAACTGGAACATCTCGTCGTCAGTAATGGTAGAAATTTTGTTGAACAGGTAATTGGCAGCATTCCTTCTGGCAGTGTCAATACACAACGCAGCTTCCTGTGAGTGCAGAAAGGTCACAATCATTGAAAAGCGTGTAAAATAATGAAAGGTTTTTACTTAACTCTTTGAGACCTATCGGTTTAGCATTAGTGGTGGTAATGCAATTCTGTAATGCCACAAGCATAACACATTAAAACAGACTATACTAATTCAACATACACATGCTTGTCTTCCAAAGAGCTGCCAAGGTTTTAGCGCATTTCTTCTTCCGGCGACATCTCTCCAGCCACATGTGTTTGCAGCGTCTCTCCAGTGACTTGTGTGTATTAGTTAGTTAGTTAGTCTTTCCTCTTGTGTCGAGTGCTGCACATAGGGCAGAGGTCATGACTCTCCATGCATGGCGGTTCGTTGCAATCTGTTGTAGGTCTTGGATGTTTGAGTGGCCCATGAGTGAGCCTTCCCTGATGATAGTTCTACGTAGGGTTTACCTTGGTCTTCCACGAGATCTTTTCCCCTGCGGTGTCCAAATGAGGGCTTGGTAAGGAAGTCTTGTGTGTATTAATTTCCTGAAATTCGCAGCATCAGTGCCTGACAAGGAGAGCAGTGCTGCTTTCCTGCAACATCATGGCATTCTGCATAGCACCAGACATTGTGGCAATAATCATGCGATGGTGATACCACAACAATAGTCTGTCATCTCTGCTGCTGCTACTGCCGCTACAGCAGGTGCCACATTTCAACCGCTCTCCAGGTAAACTACCGTGTAAAATTGTTCTGACTGTCAAGTCGTGTGTGAACCCAGCAGGATACATCTAGAATAATTGGCCCTTTTTTGGGGCACCTCCACTGTACCCCAACTGGCAATTTATGCTGCCTGATTGCACATAAAAGTTTCGCACAATAACAAATTGCAAAACAACATCCTCGTACCCAGCAGACACACAAAAAAACTATTGTTCTCAGCTGCCGGCAATATCCAATGTTCTATATTCCACGATGTGAGCGCTTCTAATGACCCTAAAACATCCACAACTGGCCTTAACCCAACCCATCTACGTCCCATGGAAGAGTGCAGCCTAGGACCTTCTCCCCAGCAGCAACAACAACAACAAAAAAACAGAGAAGAAAAAACCCACACAAAAAACTGCATCCTCCAGATTGCACAACACACACAAAAAATGCACACCAAAAAAACGACACAAGGAGAACACAAAACTGAAGACTGCGCAGCGCAAAACTGCACGGCAAATGAAAAGCTAAACTACTACACTTCTTCTTCTGTGAATATATTTATACATGTATGTGGGTGTATGTTTTCATATAAGTGTAAATGTGTGGTTTTGGGCATATGTTGGTGTCTGTACATGTGACTGTAAATGTGTGTATGCATGGGTGCATGTATAGATGTGTATGTATGGAATGTGTGTGTGCATGTATATCCATAAATGTGTGTGTGTTTTCTGTTTGTGCATTTATGTCAGTGTATGTGTTTGCTTGAATATGTATGTAGATGCATGTGTGTATGTATCATGTATGTCTGTATATGAGTTCGCATGTATGAGAACATAGGAGTATGTATACGTGTGTGAGTGAGTGTGTACGATTGTGTACACATGATGTGTGTATGCATTATACTATAATTTATATTTCTTTAATAAATCAATAACATGCATTATTGATAACAGGTATTGGTACTCTGAAAAATGAGTACTTAGAAGGGCCGAATGTCAGACGGGCCTGCGTGCCCAATTTGTAACCCTTTGAAAATAAAGTTTGTTCGTTCGTTCGTTCTTCTTCTTCGCGTTCACCAGCTGTACACTCTGGCGGAAAGTTCTGGTTGATTGTCCAATACTGAACTGCAGTCCTGCTCCAGAACCTGAGTGTTGCGTGTGCATCAGCTTTACAGATCTTATTCTCTTGAATACAGACTGTTGGTTCCTTGCCTCTCCAGCAGATGCACTCCGACTTCAAAGGAAGCTTCCCAATTAGTTGACTCTTACGACATGCTTTTAGAGAGGCAGTGGGTCTATTCTTGTTTTCCCCACAATGGGGGCCCGGAACCCATGCGGGGGACTACTAAACTATACAGCACCTCTTGAAATATTAGACTGTCACGTAACCTGTGAATTTCTCGTATTTATGTTGAAATATTTGGAAAGTACCTCGATGCCTCCCAAACCGTGACCTATACATGGGTTATATTTTCAACTGTAATTACTACTATGTTCAATTTAACAGTGACATTAACAGCCTGTTTACTGTGCATTTCTTAATTTATTGCAATCAGTAAAAGTAAAATGTCAGTGGAATTAAATCCCTTTGAAAATGTTGTTCCTCTCGCATCCCTGACATTAATTTTTTTAAATGTACATTTAACTGTTACCTCCTTTGAACACAGACTGTAAGATATGGGTGTTAGAGGAGGAGATCTGGGGGGACTACCAACATGCCAAATTGCAATCCTGAGTCATTGCCTCATTACTTAAAAAAGGTGCGTAAGTAGTGGTAGCCCTAACTATAGGAAGAATTGGCCTAGGACGCTCCTATCACTCGACCTCAGGCCGTGACTCAGGGTCCAGCTCCCGCACTATGTGCAAATTTGTTTGCTGCAGAAAATTCAGTCATGAGTAATGCACTCAATTGGACATTGACGGGTTTAGGAAATAAGAACACATAAGAGAAACTTGAAGACGGAAGGATTGTGTGCTTGCTTCTCCGCGGAGTTCCTACTACACATATTGCAAAATTGGAGACCAACATGAGAATAAAACTTTCTTTCACTATCCCAGGCAATTAAATCTAGTATGTTATATCACATTTTATTCTAGGACACACATAAATCATATATATCAACATGTCATTCAAAATGGACTCTGGAACCTACATGGGGTTGTAGTGAGACAACTTTCAGTCTTACCTCTGAAACATCAGTAATTTTGTACAGTGAAATCAAAACGTAGGCTGTAAGAGGAATGGGGTCATGCCGAAGTTTGTCGTTGACGAGGTTTGTGATGGAAGTCTGGGGACAAAATATTTATTATCATAAATGGCTTTATTATCATAGATGTCCATCTACGTAAGTAAAGGATCCTTTATACATCACTGGCACACTAAACAGGTGATGCTAAAACCAAATTTGAATAAAAGGCCAACTGGCACTTGATGGACAACGTGTTCAACTGCCAAGGTCATATCTAGCGCCCATTTTAGGCCAGGTCAGTTACAAAAACCCATCCATTCATCATTGTTCATTTCTACAATCATCTTCACTGCAAACTGGCACACATATAGTTAGTTAGTTGACAGTTTATCCTCATTGCACGTGGAACCACTCAGCCCATAAGTGCTCAGATCCCCTCCTCAGCAAATCCTGCAGAGTGTAGCGGCCAACAACGCCAGTTCTGTGTTGATTTATTCTTCTTCTTTGGCTACCTGTGTAGTGTTCTTGTTTGGCGACACCCCGTTGAACATGTTGTTCTTGTAGTCTGACCATGGTTGCAGATTCACAGCTCTCAGTTGGTTCATGCAAACGTCTTACTTCTCTTAGAGCATTCAGTATATCAGCCAGGTCCATTGCTTGTACAGTTTTCACAGTAGCCTTACCTGCAAGTCTATCAGCTTGCACATTTCCTTGTACATCCACATGTCCTGGCACAAAAATAAAACTAATCCTTGTCAGCCGTGAATTCTGTACAGCCACCAACCACTGCTTTCGGACTCAGCCTTTCTCTATCTTCCTGGGCATACTCATCGAGTCACTGAGAAAGTATGCCCCAGTGAAAGCCTGTGTCTCTAGCCATGTTACTGCTTTAGTCACAAATATAAGTGCTCAGATCTTTTCCTACGCATGTTTCTTGGTGTTTTACACTGAAAACCCTGTTCTGTAACAGCTGATGTAGCGACTGTGAGATCTTGCAATGTTTTCATGTCGCAACTCTCCGATCCAGGCATCCAGGTAAGGCAGCACATATAATGATACATTTTGAGACCATGCATCTGCCGCACAATATCATATGGAAGTGAGTTGTGGTTTACCTTACAGAAGGGAAAAAAAAATTGTTTTGCTTTTCAGCTGAAATGCTACAGAAAGATTCTCAAAATACCACGGACAAAGAAGAAAAGAAACAGATATCCTAACATCAAGGAGGATTGGCCAGTGAACAGTATCTTGTCTCTGAAACTGAAATATTTTGGTCATATCAAGTACCATGGTGGATTTGAAAAAATAATAGCAGAATGCATAGTACCAGGAAAGAGGAGCAGGGGCTGAAAAGCACAAAGATGGGCACATGATAGAAATGACATCTTGGGTGGGAAAGTGCAAAAGATCGGAGAGCTAGCAAGGAGCCGAGTTTTTTTTTTTTTCAAGCAAACTGTGATGAGAGCGACATTCTGCAAAGGATCTGCTACACAAGGATGACATATTTCTTCGGCCATGTTTTACAGGGGACATTATGCAAGCAAAGAACAGTCACTCTATAACCCACAGTTCATGTCCCTAAAGGTGACTAAGTAAGGTTAGCGTCAGACCAGCTATCTATCACACTGACATCCGAAGAACAGTGATTAGCATTTCATCTTCTTGAGTTATCGGTTACGAGTTATAAGTTAGATTATCTTCACAGCACTCCAGACACATCCATAGGCGCTCAGATTCGCCTTTCAACATATTCATCAGCGTTGTGCGGTTAATAGTACCAGTCCTATGTTGGTTAACAAGACTTTGTGTGCGTCTCATGCTTGGCTGTGCCAATCTTGACAACCAATTCTCGTATTCTTAGCAGTGATGTGGACACATTGCTTCCAAAATCCCCATAACGTCCTACCTCTCTAAGGACAATGACAATATCTGCGTGATTCATGGCCAGGCCATCAATTAATGCAGCACCTGCCAGTCTATCAGCTCTTTCATTACAAACAACACCTGCATGCCCTGGGACACATATGAAAGTAACTTCTTTATGTTCCCCAGCTGTAAACTCCAGCAGAAAGTTATAGCTGTTTATCCAATTCCGGACTAATCTTGTTTCAAAATTTGAGTGTTGCGTGCACATCTATTTTACAGATCAGGCGTATTTGTATGCAGACTGTTGGTTCCTTGCCTCTCAGGCAAATGATGTACACCGACACCAAAGGAAATGCCTAATTAGTTTACTCTTATGACATGCTTGTCAGGAAGGCAGTGGAGCTATTCTTGTTTCCACCCATTATGGGGGCCCGGCCCACACGGACAGGGTGAGCATATGAGATGTTGATATATCCTTAGGCAGAATAATGGTATTCCAGATCCCTTTAAATATCCACAAAGACAGACTACAAAATGTAATTACTATAATTGTTTGAAAATATACTGAGCCTGACAATTTATACTCCTATGATCTTATGAAATTAATACATAAGCAATGCAATACTGAATTAAAAAAAAAAACATAGTTGGCAGGTATAAATATCCATTATTTAAACATAAAAAACTAAACATAAAATTACAATGTGTTGAACACAATATGATGTTTAAATTACTATTACTAATGGGAGTCGCTGTGGCGTAGCGGCTAGATGCTCGCCTGCAGATCAGAAGGTCGTGAGTTCGCTCCCTGGTGGAGCAAAAATAACCTTGGCTCCTGGGTCGACCCAGCTTTGAGTGGGTACAAGGTGCAGTCCTAGGAAGTAAAGGCGTCCGGCGCAATGCTGACCACATCACCCATCTTGTGCCGTCGGTCTATAAAATATAGCTCTAGCCCTAAATACCTAACACGCCTCCAAGAAAAGGGTCCTTTTTACTACTAATGCTACATTGTGTAGAAAACTTTAGCTTCACAATTTCAGCCAATCAAGAACAAGCCTACAAAGGGCTGCCTTCTTCTACCGTTTATCCCACAACTTGAGAATAAGCTCTCAACCAGCATACAGAAATCCTTTCATATCTTTTGCCTTCTGCAGCCTTTTTCTGTGTTCTACCCATGTATGCTCTCAACCAGCACACAGAAATCCTTTCATAACTTTTGCCTTCTGCTGCTTGTTCCGTGTCCTAACCCATGTATGCTGTTGGCTGTTGGACTTGCTAAATACAATCTGTGCCACTCTGTGCCAGACGCTTGACTGCAGATCGGAAGATCCTGGGTTCAGGTCCTGATGGAGCCAGACTCGTTTCAAAAATGACCTTGACGTCCAGGTCAAAACTGCCTTAAATGGGTGCCAGGTACAGTCCTTGGAAGAAAAGGCGGATGTTGACCACATCACCCACGGAGTGCCGATTGGTCTAAATCTATAAAAGACAGACTTAGCCCTATATGCCAGTGGGGCGCAAAGGGGCCTGCTTTTTTTGGGGGTTGAAAATTCACTTTTATATGGGTGTGTGTGTGTGTATATATATATATGCAATGCATGCGCATTCATGTATACGTGTGTATTTATCTATGTGTATGTATGATCTGTTTCTACATATCTATGGATGCATGTATGTGAAAAGTGAGAATTAAAGAAATGGCATAATGATAAACAAAATTCCAAAAAAAAAAAAACATAAATAATTGTCAACTGCATAATTTACCATTTTTCTATCGTAAGCAACATCATTGTCTGCTGGATCGAAGGCCCCAGAGGTTTTATTTTGGCGAGAGCAAATGTAGACAACCATTTTGTTGATCAACTCTCGAGGCATAAATAAATCACGCTCCCACTCTCCAAAGTTTGCATAACTCACTATTTTAGCCACAAAAGCAGTTAGCCTAAAGTAGTGAAAAAAATTAATTAATAATCAATTACAATGCAAACAATCTTTTTAATGGGATATTATAGCCATTAATATCCTTAATGTCAATGGCGTGATATATGATGGTAAGAATGATTTAAATAAATTTATAATAACTTTCTTCTTCTTCTCACCAGCTGTAAACTCTGGCGGAAAGTTCTGGTTGTTCAGCCACTTCTGGACTGCAGTCCTGTTCCAGAACCTGAGTGTTGCGTGTGCATCCCTTTTACAGATCTGACTCATTTGTATGCAGACTGCTGGTAACTTGCCTCTTAGGCAGATGCACTCCGACTTCGAAGGAAGCTTCCAATTAGTCGTCTCTTACAACATGCTTTTGGGTAGGCAGTGGGTATATTCTTGTTTTTCCTATAATAGGGCCCCGGAACCCAGACGAGGAATTCTAATAATCAAAATGTAACTAAGTTTACTTAAATAAAATTATACTCTACATAAAACAAAGCTCAGATCAGTTAAAGACTTCCCCGTGTAGGTTATGGGTAGGGGGGGGAAACAAGATTAGACCCAATGCCTGCCGAAAGAATGTTGCAAGAGTCGACTAATTGGGAGCCTTCTATGAAGTCGGAGCAAAAATTTAAAAAAAAGAGCAAAATACGTTAAAATGACAGCGGTTGGGATTCAAACTTATGACAACAGGATCAACAGGCATGTGTGAACACAAATAGAAAACACAGTGCTTAAAATTAAACTAATAATAGGGGCTTATTATAGAAAACATAGTGTATACTAGAAAATAATGACTACTCATTAAAAAAATGTGTTTACTATAAAACTTATGACTACTCATTAAAAAAAGAAATCACAAGTGTTCACTATAAAAACTAAAGACTAATTATAGAAAACAGTGTTTACTATAGAACTAATGACTACTCATTAAAAAAATGTGTTTACTATAAAACTTATGACTACTCATTAAAAAAAGAAATCACAAGTGTTCACTATAAAAACTAAAGACTAATTATAGAAAACAGTGTTTACTATAAAACTAATGACTACTCATTAAAAAAAAAGTGTTTACTATGAAACTAATGACTAATTATAGAAAACACAGTGCTTAGTTTAAAAATTTGTTTTGTTGTTGTTGAGGTTGAGGTTTTTGAACAATGGATCAACATCATGGCACACGGGTAGTAACCCATAAGCACAGTGCCCAGGCTCTGTAGCACGGGCAAGGATCCTGAAATACTTTGGGTAGATTTTCAACTCCAAATTTTGCCCGGGCAGCGCTGTTAGGCTACTCTTTTCGATTTCCAACTGCCAATGGATTTTTTACATTCGCAAGAATGCAAACGGGCGTCTGATCTCACTACCCAGAGACCGGGGGAAATTATTAGAAGTCCAAGTCCACGTTGAAAAAACCCCAACCCTTACAGGGGATTGAACCCGGAACCTCTAGCACTCCAGGCGGACACCATGCCTCGAGACCATGCAGCCCCCTTAGTGTAAAATTAACAATAATGACTAATTATGGAGAGAACATACTGCTTTAAAAAAAAAAAAACAGCTAACAGCAGTGGCAAAGTCAAAAGTTTGAGTCAACTAACCAGAGACTTGGTCGCACATCATCTCTAAACATCCTGAACGAGCCATCAGGGTTCATGTAACCCAGCATACGCTGGAAAGCTGAAGAAGAGAAACACAATTTATAAAACTGGTGTATTCCAAGAATTAATCAACAAATTAATCAAGAACTGACAATGCTGCATTTGGGACATTCCTCAACTAGCCTAATCTCCTTCTTCAAAGCTAGGGTAAAGGTAAAGTCGGGAGATGTGAACCAGCGTCATTGCACACGGTTATAAACCATAAGTGCTCTGCCACCAGTACAGACAGCTGATAAGAAACCGTCCGCCTGTGTTGCTGTCCGCATGCACTCCGTAGCAACAGCGACATTCCTCCATTTACCCCAGAGTGTTAACTCTGGTACCAATTTTCTAGAGGCTGGGTGAACCTCAGGAACCGCCTGGTTTAGAACACTGGCCGTGGGCTGCAGCGAGTCGCAGCTGGATTTGAAAGTGAGTCTCCTATCGACTGCACTAATGCGGCCCCAAATAGCTCTTTAAAACTCTTCTTCTTCAAAGAGCTTCCATGCTTATGATGCTACCACGACCCACCCCCCTCCGCCCGTGATAATAATCCTGGATGACTGCCGCCATGTTGAAATTGTGACTTTTACAATAAATATAGGAGACCCGGGTTTGAATCCTTGGTAAGGCTGGGGATTTTTTCTGTCATAGGCAAAATAAAATCCTCACCTGCACAATCCATCTGGCCGTAAATCCTCAGACTCAAAGATCCCCCCTGCCTACACTGCAAAAGTAGTATACTAAAGGAAGTTGCTGGCAGTTTTTTGGCAATAAATATAGTAGAAACCATCAGTCTATTGTCTACTGTTCTTGAAGGAAAACAATTTGGTAGTGCTTAACTCTTTGAGTCCGGGGGGGGGGGGTTAGCATCAGAGGCCCAAGGGGTAGTCAAAAGAGATGCAAAATGGGCGCATCTTGCGTTCACTGGGCTTCTAAGCGGGAACCCATGAACGTATGATGCGTTCCTTGGGACTCAAAGAGTTAAAGTAACATTTCCATGAATTTTTGGTCACCTCCCTTGTCTATGGCGCATAAACAAATGTTTCAATAATGGCGGTTGATAGTAAGGGCTGGCATGGTGGAAGGGTTTGGGGGAATATTCCTGATTCTATAGGATATTATAGTGATAGTTTAAATCGGTAAGTGAAGGTGAAGATATTTCCTAAGAGTTTCATGGCTGTGACTTAGATAATTCTTACGAACTGCCATCAAAAAACATTGTCAAAACTGAAAAACAAGGTTGTAGCAGTGGCTTGCCAGTTGGAGGTAGGTGTGTTATCTTACACTAGATCAGGTAGACTGTTTCACATAAGTGCTTCAGGTGTGTATTGTTAGATGGTCTCCTAGTGTAGATTGTGTCCATTACAGCTCTGTGGTTCAGTGTCTGGAGAAAATCGTTTCACAATACAATCCTCGATGTTTACTGGGATGCGTGTGTAGTGTTGTCCAGACCCGGTGAGTCACTTATGATGAACCAGTTTCACCTTGTACTTTGCCTGTTCTGCTAAACTATCCATTCGATAAGAAAGTTTCCACTATAGCTTATTTAAAAAAGAAGCTTTCCCTAAACAATTATATTTCAAGATTCAGGTTAGTTGCGTATCCTTTACAGGACGTTGCAGAACCAACCCCAACAGCCCCTGGCTGTTATGTGGTTTTTTAAGGCAAATTTACGTCCAGTAGTTTGCCATTGCTTTCTGGACGGTCAGCTGTCTTAATACCACTGTCGAAACCAACGCAAGGCACATGGCCCGCAGCTGGGATCGAACCCGGCATTACGAAGTGTTCGCATCGACTTAGCCACAGAGCTGACATTTCAAGATTACAGACCTGAATAACTGTTGTGTGTGTGCGTGTGAGTGTTTTTTTGTTTTGTTTGTAACAATTCATTTAACATTGAGATTCTAAGTTGATAACAATTGTTCAGGTTGAGAAGTGCTGAATTAGACCATAAGTGTTCCATAGATAGTAGCTATCAATTACCTATGCTCATCTCTCGGAGTGTTTTAACCAGTCGTTCATCGTCTAGCTGCTGAGAGGCTTTCATGAATCTGAGAGCGTACAGGTTGTACGCAAAGTTGAAAGTGATCATTTCCCCGCCTCCATACGGACGCCACAGGATGTTCTCTGCATGGAGGTAATCTTCAAAGAAACCCGGAGTCATAACATCTCCTGATGAAGACAAAGTGAAGATACAATGTACACCGTAAAATGAAATGTTCATTTAAAAAAAAAAAAAAACATTTTTTTTAAACGTCAAGTTAAATGTCTCTTCTTAAAAGAGTAATGGTACGCTGAGTTGTGGTCTAATGCTAGGCTGTGATATCTTGGGCCCAAAGACAACTTATCATAAATATTTATATATATAAAACAAAAAGGCAGACATTATCAGACTTTGATGGATGATGAGGTAAGCATCATGCCAGCTGCCTTTACTTCCCAGAACTTCACTTGGTACCCATTTCAGGCAGGATGACCAGGGAGCCACAGTCACATAAAAAAAAAACATCTAGAACTACGCGGATCTGAATCTCGCCCCTGTGGTATTTCATAACCAGCAGAGAGTAAAATCTTTGCAGAAAATAACCCCAATCAGAATCCTGGAAAGACTAATTAATTAGTGACAGAAAATGAGAGGACTTCAAAAGTCAAAAGAAAATTCAGGCAAATGTGAGGCCTCAACTCTTGCGGTACCAGAGGACAGTTTAATTATAAATCAAAGCTTTACAACCAAACATTAAACAAGTAAAATCTGGCTTAAGTATGCAACCAGCCTGTCGTAAATATGGCATGGAAATCAATACAGAGAAAAGCAAGATTCTGGTAAATAGTCACTATAATCAAGTACCTACCAAAATACAGATAAAAGGGAAAAAAAAACTAGAAGTTGAAACTTTTAAATATCCCGGCTTCCACACATGCAACGATGGCAACTGTACCAAAGAGATCAAGACAAGACTTGATATGACAACAGCCGCGATGTTGCAACTGAATACGATGTGGAAGAGCAAAATCAGCTCCGCAGTCAGGGTCAATATTTACAAACCACTGGTATTGTCTATTTTCTTATATGGTTGTGAGAGTTGGACTGTCACTGCGGAAATGGAAAGGAGGATTCAGACTTTCGAATGTAAATGCTACAGACGCATTTAACGAATTAGTTATTTAGAACACAAAACTAATAAATATGTCAGAGACAAAATTTACAAAATTTGTGGGACATCAGGAGCCTTTCTTGGCAGTGGTGAAAAGTCACAAGCTAGCTTAGTTTGGGAACATGGTGAGACATGATTCGATTGCAAAGACTTACTTCGAGGAAGAGGAGGAGGGCAAAGAAGAACCTGGAATGACATCAGGAAATGGACAGGACAAAGTAATCATACACTTATTCATCAAGCGGAAGACAAAGAAAGATGGCGGGTTTTATGTGCTAGTGCTTCCATCAAAACATCTCCACGACCCTAATGGGTCAAGGGTTATGTTATGTTAGGAATGTATGCCTTACCAAAAAGTGACATCACAGCGTTAGGGCTTTGCGGCACATACAAGTTCTCTCGGACCTCAAGCTTTCTGAACTGTTCAGGCACTGGGACATCGAATTGTGGGATTTGGATAGAACCGAATCGAATCAAATCTATGAGGTAGGGTGTATGATAGTAGTTCATGACCCCATCCGGCTGTGGAAAAGAACAGACACTTTTAAATTAAAAAGTACTACAAATTAATAAATATTGGCTTCACATAGAGAAACAAATAAGATAACATTTACTACATACAAGGAAATTTAATCTTGAATAATGGGAAGAACAAGCATAAACATATCATGTTTAGCACACGACAGTTCATATCATGATTAGTACACAAAGAAATATAGATAATGTTTAGTACACACAGAAATATAGATAATGTTTAGTACACACAGAAATAAAGATAATGTTTAATACACAATAGTTCATATCATGATTAGTACACACAGAAATATAATGTTTAGTACACACAGAAATATAGATAATGTTTAGTACACACAGAAATATATATAATGTTTAGTACACACAGAAATATAGATAATGTTTAGTACACACATAAATATAGATAATGTTTAGTACACACAGAAATATAGATAATGTTTAGTACACAACAGAAATATAAATATTGTAAAGTACACTCCTGGCCAGTGTGATGCTGACCACATCATCCACCTAGTGCCAACTGGTCTATAAAATACAGGTCTAGCCCTATATGCCTGAAGGTGGGGAAAAGGTTTTTAGCTTTACAGTACTCTCCTTGTGTGTGTTCTGGGGCTCCATTCTGGGAGGGAAAACAATTTATAGTCCCACTGCCCCACCCCCCTTCAAGTTTGCTGTGAAAGCCAACTAATTAGTCAGGGTGCAAAGGAAAACCAACAGTCTGCAGACAAATAAGTCAGAAAAACAGATGTGAATGCAAAATGCAAACTCAAGTTCTGGAACAAGACTAAAGTCCAGAAGTGGACGAACAACCATGACTTTCCACCAGAGTTTACCACTGGGGAACCCGAAGAAGAAGATAAAGAAGAAGACAAAGAAGAAGATCACTAAAGAATAATGTTTACTACACACAGAGAAACACAATACTGTGAACTCTTGGACAAATAAACCGACAGGCAGTTATTTGAAGTGCTAGAGCAGTTATTGTGTTGTTAATTGCTGCCTACATTACACAGAGAAATATGATCAAATTTTCAGGTGTAAGAAGGACGGAAATGAATACACAAAATCACATTACAATACGTGTCCTTTACAGGACATTGCAGAATCCAACCCCAGCATTTTTAGCTGCTGTGATTTCACTAGGCAATTTTATGCTCAATAGTTTGCCATCCTTCTCTAAACAGTCGGCTCTCAATACCATTGACAATGCAACACAATTACAGACACTTTAGTATACATTAAAAAGTTTACTTTTTTTTGTTATGTTGGCATCTTTCCAGATGATAGTGTTAAAACTGTGCTATAGAGAAGGATGGAAATCAAAGAAAATGGCAATGGCGAGTGTGACTAGCAAGATCCACTGATGTTGACTTCCTATTCCTAGCATAAAGCCTGGGCAGTATTGCAGAGACCATGTACTGCACAAGCTTCATGATCCATCTCTCAAGTTGCCTTGTTTATTCCATAGGAAAGGTAACAGCAATATGCTTGGATTAAAGCATGCTGCAGAAGCTGCCGGATCAGGAGAGCTGTGCCGTATGTCTGTCCACCTGTCAGAAACTTCCCTCCTAGACCAGCTGCCAGCCAAGGCTTAGGCCTGATTTGCTATCAACATAACATGAAGTTTTCAGGCTGCATTTTCTCTTCCTGTATTAGGGCGCAACACCACCACCACCACCTTTCTTCTCCATCAGCATGTACTCCTCCACCTAAAGCCACCTGCACAATGTGGGATTTTTTATTGTGGGAACTAATATGTGCACAACATGATATAATATAACCTCCACCTGTCTAACTACTTACCAACCATCCAACCTATCTATACATGAATTAAAACTATTCCCTTTAGCAAATTTGACAGCACCATTGCTAATATACACCAGAAGGGTTATAGCAATAACTGAGGAATTACAAGTCACTCACCAAAGCAATTACCTTGCACTGTACAGATACAAATTTAAAAATATTCTAAACTTCAAAGTAAAAAAAAAAAAAAGAACTATACCTTTACTGTCATTGTCCCGCGATATTCATCCTTTTGCATGAAACAAGTGGCTGACACCCGGAAGTTCAAATCGCCCATCACAAGGTCCCTGTCTGGCACTATCGGCATGTAAATGTCTTTCGACTCACCTGGCTCTAGCTAATATTTAGAAGAAATAAAGGGCAGTTCCGTTATTAGGGTTTTACAAAAATAGATATTCTGGCTAAAACATAATTACATCTTAGTGCTTCAATCTACACGTTTGACAACAATCAAAATGGTAAACAGAAAATATTGAATTCTCTTAAATATGCTGATAAATAGAAAGTAATGTGTACAATATGTGCCAGATACAATATTTTGGATATTAACATAAGGAAGCTAGAAACTGCAAAGAGTAAACTTGATGGCTGCCCATCATGGCACCTAAGAGCTGGGGATGTATCCCTTCACCCAAAAATTAATATATATATATTATATATATATATATATATATATATATATATATATATATATTATAATACTATGAAAACAATTATTGGCATACATATACATATATAAACAATTCTTGGCAGACAAACAGAGGTAGGCAGATAACAAGAGGACGAAGTAGAGACTGAGACTGGGGGGGAGGAAGGGGGGGGGGGAGGAAGGGAGGGAGGGATGGAGAGAGTGTGTGTGTGTGAACTAAAGACTTACCAAAGGAGAGAACTGCTTATCACATAACAGAAAAATAATGATACATAAAATTTTTTTTTATAGAAGGACTAAAAAATATATAACCTGTTAAAATGAAAGTTCCCACACTTGACAAACACCATAGAGTCAGTACTCATAAACACTATACTACAAATATTCACAAGTACCATACTATTACAACTCATAAACACCATAAGGGAAGTACCCATTACTCCCAAGCACCATACTAAAGTACTCACAAACACCACACTGAAGTACTCACAAAAACATTACTAAAGTACTCACAAACACCATACTAAAGTACCCTCACAAACACCATTCTAAAGTTCTCACAAACACAATACTAAAGTACTCACAAACACCTTTCTAAAGTACTCACAAACACCTTACTAATGTACTCACAAACACATTACTAAAGTACCCACAAGCACCATACTAAAGTACCCACAAGCACGTTACTAAGTACCCACAAGCACGTTACTAAAGTACTCACAAACACATTACTAAAGTACCCACAAACACAAGCAAACCATACTAAAGTACCCTCAAAAGCTAAAGTACCCACAAGCACCATACTAAAGTACCCACAAGCACCATTACTAAAGTACTCACAAAGCACATTACTAAAGTACTCACAAAGCACATTACTAAAGTACTCACAAGCACATTACTAAAGTACTCACAAACACCATACTAAAGTACTTACAAACACAATAGTCTGGTGGTCACCCGTGTGTGTGGGCGGTGTATAGGATGTCACGTAACCCATGCTTCCGACAGTCACGGACAAGTAGTTAGGACCGCCATGCATGGTCACCAGTACCTGAGGGATAAAGATTTAGGCAGCATAAATACTTTGAAGTTGATCACATACAAACACTGTTTTGATCAAAACAAATGGGACAACTTCTGTAAAGAACGAAACCTAGACATACATGGTTAAGGAGAATGTTTATATGTTTTACCATATAAAAATCCTTCGATTCTTCCACCATCCTATAAAAGGACGGTTGACACATTGTATTGTGGTTTACAGCTAGGCTGCCACATAAGCACCTTTCCTAACACATCCATTCTGAGCAAACATCAGTTGTTCTCCCCCGACCCCCCTCCACCTTTAACCAATGAAATGCTTGTTGGGGCAGTGAGTTTATTAACCCCACCCCCTTTTCCATGGAAGCCACCCTCGTGTAGCGGCTAGACGTTTGCCTGCGGATCAAAAAGTCTTGGGTTCTGGTCCCAGCAGAGCCGGACTTTAAAAAAAAAAAACCTTGGCTCCCAGGTTGACCCAGTCTTGAATGGGTACCAGGTGCAGTCCTGGGAAATAAAGGCAGCTGGCATGATGCTGACCCCATCATCTACCAAGTGCCAATTAGTCTATAAAATACAGGTCTAGCCCTACATGCCCAGTATGCCTGAAAGTGTGGAAAAGGGGCCTTTACTTTACATTTTTACCCACCCCATGGGGCCCAGAATCTCACATGAAGAACTCATTTAATGATAAGAAACACAGCGACCAAATACATAAGCTGCTTTATCGAACCAACTCCTGGGAGGTCTAACTCTGGCACCAAAAAGCCTGCACAACGGCGCTGGTGTTGACCGAAAGGCACAAATACCACAGCCATGTTGTAAACAGGCATAATGCACTTAAATCTTCAGATGAATGCAAAAGATTAATCAATCAATCAATCAGTCAGGTGCCATTTCCACAGTGAAGATTGGCTGCAATGGATCTCCAACACACTCTGACTCTTGTCTTGATTGTGCACTCTCTTAGACTGTTGTTTGTCCATCTCTTGATGTTGTCCTCCCACTTGTATCACTGCCCATCTCTTGCGCTCTTTCCTCGACCTTTCCCTCCAGTATGGTTTTTAAAAGCATGTGTTACATCTTTTAATGTGGCCAAAGTATTTATTTCAACAGTTTCTTTTTTTTATATAAATTTAGGTCTATTTCATTTACTGTCTTTTTAGTAATTCTGTATTTTCATTTGCTGAAAAATACGTCTTTTTCCAGTACCTCTGTATTGGACTTTGATTTCCAAGTTTCCATGAAACACCTCAACATCTGACAACCATTTTTAGTCTGGTTATACCCACATTTCCAGGGAGACAGTTTTAGCCAATTAAATTTTCGATTTAGTTTTGTGTTCATTGTCCATAGTCCTCTGCAACATATAGAAGAAGAAGAAGGAAGAAGAAGAAGTGCGAGAAGAAGCAGAAGAAAAAAGGGTAAGAAAAAGAGAAGGGAAGAAGAAGAAGAGAAGAAGTATAAATAACTTTTGACAAGGTGAGAAAAAGAATAAGAAGAAAATACCCAACTCAAGTTTTAGTACTAAGGTGTTGTTACCCTCCAGGTTCTCTATCTGTCAGTAATTTGTGGTGCTGTCCACCTTATTGTAAGACAGTTTTAGTCGGGGGTAGGTTATTTCCTATTGCAGTGTTTTGATTTCTGTTTCGCTTCTTCCATCATCTATTACTATATGTCCTAGACAGGAAAAACTTTGTTACTTGTTATATGCAGAAGAAGAAGAAGAAGAAGAAGAAGATTTTCTCATACCTGCTCAGGTAGATGATTCTAATTCTTCTAAAGTTGTAACAAACAGCAATGCTCTAGATGAATTACTTCAGGTTATTGTTCATCATCATGCTCTGTAGTTCTTTTCTTTTCTTGTGACTCCTGACACTCTTTAGATGAATTCTTCTTCTCCTGTACCATATATCCGCTCTGTAGATGATGTCTTCTCCAAGAAGATTCTGCTTCTACTTCATCCTGCCTGTAATGATGATTCTCTTTATTCTTGTAGCATCATACTGCTCTGTAGAAGGAGAATTCTTCTCAAAAGGTAGATCCTCTGCTCTGAAGATGAATTCTTTTTTCTTTCTTGTACCATCAAAAGCTCTGAAAGATGAATCTTTTTAACAAAAGTAAAATAGACATCAGAACAAAATATGACATCTGAATCAAAAGGTAGAATCAACAGCAATCCGTGTCGTGGACATCTCGGAACTTAGGAGGTAGATTGTTCATCATGCAGGTATCAACTAGACCCTTTATCCAACAAAAGGTCTTTCACTGCCTTCCTCCCAGAATTTCTTGTGAAAAATTTCCATCCTGATTATTGCCAATATATGAGACTGATGATGCTTTTTTCTCATGTGAGCCACATGAATGTACGTTGTTTTTTCTGTGGGCAGGTAGATCAGGTTCTGTAGTTTTCAGCCAGAGTGGCTTGCACGGATTTCAACAGTGGTATCCAGGGCCGGCCGTTGAAGGTAGGCAAATACAATGTATAATGCTTTAAACTCAGTACAAATCACAGGCAGGCAAAAAAAAAAAAAAAAAAAAAAAAAACTCGGGCTGGTTCTGTATTGTGAAAAAAGGATATGCAATTTTACTCAGATTTTGTATGTGCCAAGGATCATCTACACTGGATTATGGTTCCGGTCAGCACATGCTTATGGTCATCTCTAGCACATGATGATTTTGGGTCAGCACATAATCAGGTGTCTAGAATGTAGATCATCTAGCATATTTCGTGTCAGCACAGAGATTATGTGTGTCTGAGCACATGATTGCGTGTGCACATTTGCAGCAGACATATCATGGCTTTGTGGATGCCTGGGGTGTCTGTGGATTACCCTACCTCCCCAGGGCATTCTAGAAAGGGGGGGGGCCCCCTGGTACCAGTTCAGCAATGGAAATATGGCAAACTTCTGCCTAATTTAACACGCAAGGCTAATTGCGCACAGTATGTGCTCATTCCCCGCCACCAGATTTTGCCACAGGTCTTCGCTGATGTGCTTTCATGGCTCTCCGGCATGGCTAATCCATGAGTATGTTGGGGCAACTGGATATGTCACGTCCTGATCCCTTGCCGTCACGATAGTTCAAGGTATCCATGGGTGGTTTAGCACATGAGCATGTTCCATCCTACTGACTGTTCAGCACACCTCTGAGCTGTCCCTCACAGCAGCCAAATAAGTAGGTGTGGAGCACCGGCTTTTATTATCGAGGTTTGGCAAGGTCAGCACTATAATTATTGGGTCACTGGCCTGAAAAATTATGCAGCCCCGTTTATGGTACCTCAGCACATAATTAGGTGTCATCACATGATTATGGGTCAGCACAATAAAGGGGTCACTAGTCAGCAAATATTGGATTACCAGAGCAAGTTATTATTCTACGCCTTACAACAGGACACAGTCGACTTCGTAGCCACATGTACACACAATTTAAAATCGGTGAATCAGCCATGTGGCACCTGAGACAACAGATCATGTCCTCCAAGACTGTCCCAAATACAATATACAAAGGCAAAACTTTTGGCCAAGAGAAACATCGGTGCAAGTCAATCTTTATGGGTCACTGAGTGAATTACAAAAGACAGTGAAGTTCATACTAGAGACAACACTGCAGATACAGATAATTTATTTCAAGCGAAGGAAAGAAGAAGAAGAATATACTTGTGAAAAAAATGCCAAGCCAGTCTTGGAAATTTAAGTGAACAGATCCTTGAACGAGCTAATGGCCTTTTCAGAGAGGACAATTAAGAACAGAGAATGGCAGGCATCAGTTGTGTGTTACTATGATGATCCTCATAGGAAGGAAAGAATAATAATTTTTCAACCTTAGAAGAGTGTCATAAGAGGCAACTGAGGAAGTATGGCCAACCTATTTAATAAACAACTTTTGCGGCCAAATCAAATTATCTATGAACAAATCAAATAAAGAAAACAAGAAAAACCCAGCCAACCAAGATGAAAATATGTGAAGTATTACTAAGAAAGACAAAGGGAGTTTTGATCGCCAACCTACATCTGTTTATTAATACAAATGCTTCAGCATTAAGGATATCAGAACAATGTATGAATCACTAAAGACAACAGGTGGTAAGCAAAATAAAACAAAGCATTAGAGACATAGATTAATAGCAGAAGAAGGGAGTAGAAGGAGTTAACTAAAAAAAAAAACAAAAGACTTGGCATCAGCTGATTGAAGGCCTATACTCCAATGGAGTAAGATAAAGGTGGGTAGAACAACAGCAAGTATGCTAAAGAAATCAAATAAATTTAAACAAGAAAATGGGGACGAACAAAGCAATGTAGGTTACACTTACAGTACATTCTACAGCATTAGTTTCATGTCTGTAGTGTTCGGACACCTAACAAGAATGCCCTGGTAAAATCTGCCACAGCGAGCCACACTAAAATGTTACAACAGGTATAGAGCGAGTGTAGGAAAATATAGAGTGATAGGCATAAGGAACAGCCTTACAGAAATGAACACTTAATAGTGCTCTTGACAGAGCTCATCACCGAATGTTACATCTCCAACCGACACTTCAATAAGGTACAAGGTGAAGAGAAGAAGAAGAAGAAGAAGAAGAAGGGACTCAGTGACACAATATTCAGTGTTTCGTACTCTTAATGACTAATTGGCAGAAGATTTTTATAGTTTCAATAACTGACAGGTATAGGAAATTATTACTTCATATTTTAAATGACTGAATATTAGAAGACATGTTCAGTTTTATGATGGCTTGTTTGAATTTTGTTGTTATCTGACACATTCCAACTCTTATAACCATTCGTTCTGTGTACAATCAATGGTGCAATTACCTTTTGATAAATATGATTAGACTAAAGCATTACAACTTACCCTGACAGGCCTCTGCATAATTCCAAGCCCAAGTTCCCGACTGACTGAAAGACCATTTATGACCCAGGATAAAGGATATTTGGGCACATCCACTCTGAAGTCAACACGTCCATCAGGTCTGTGGCAAAAAAGAACAGAACATATATAATATACGCAACAATCTAACCCCTCCCCTTCATCAAACAGCAAGTCCTTAACAGAACGTCGCTCTCACTACAGCACACCTGAAAGTCTGAATGTTAAATAATACCCATCAAGCAAAAAGTTCCAATTTCAACGGCACCAGTAATTCTGATTGTATATCCGTCTCGCCTTTCCTTTCCCCAGAGTGTTGAGCGTTGGCCAGATCTCCTGGTAACTCCTCGCAGCGCCATTCTCCTCAGACTGTAATAATCTATTTCTGCCTTCGCAAAGTTCACTCACTCCCAAAGGGCCATCACAACATCTAGCTTATCATACATCAATTCACCACCAAGTGGTGCAGAACTGGCCACCTGAAAGCCTCTCTTTCTCTGGCCAACCTCCCAGCCCTATGTGATTTAATCTCCAATGTCTTGTATTCAGCATCGTGGAGGTTGGTCTCTGCCTGATTTTCCTGAAATTGTACCTTCCATTACCGTTCTATCTATCATGGCCAGAATACTGCAGACTGATAAGTGTGGGATGTCCTGTTTCACCATCCCACATGAAAACCATAATCATGGATCAGGTCAGTGTTATTGTCCCATCCATATGTCTAAACCATCTAGGTATCTATCTCTGTCTTCGCCTTGCTCTCTTTCCACCAATTTTGTCAGTCCTTCTCTTTCCATCAATTATGTCAGTCACTCTCTTTCCATCAATGTCGGTTGCTCTCTTCCATTAATCTCATCAGTCATCACCAAATTCTTGAGTACAATCCATTCCATGACATGACAAAAAAAAAAAAAAAAACACTAACAATCTCTGTGTATAATTTATAAAATCAGCTTACAACTTTCATCTGTCCAAAGAAGGACTGCCACATTTGTGTTTTTTTCCCATCATTCTATCCCATACTCTGGATTCTTCTAAAAAAAAAACCACATCTCCGCTGCGGGTAGATATGACATCACATTACTGTACCTCTCACCAAAAAATGCTTATTATGTGTTGTCGTACAGTTAGTTAGTTGGGATATGAGCATTGCACTCCGGACTTTCCATAGGTCTTTCCCTCAATATGAATCCTAGCATTCTGTGGCTAATAGTACCAGTTCTTTGTTAACAGATAAGTCTTTTGGTATGGCCGGTGTGTCTCTCGCGGTGAGTCTTTCATTCTGGTGAGCGATGTGGAATCGCTGTCTCGAAAGTCCTCCACCCTTCCCACTTCTCTGAGGGCATTAATAATATCAGGTTGATCCATGGGTTCACCTACAGCAGTGGGGTGGGGAGGGAGGGGGGGGGGGGGGGGCTGCGAGGTCTCAAGACATGGTGTCCATCTCGAGTGCTAGAGGTTCCAGGTTCAATCTCTGTTAAAGACTGGGATTTTTCATGTGGGCTTGGACTTCTAGTAATTCCCCCTGGTCTCTGGGTAGTGAGATCGGACGCCCGTGTGCATGTTGCGCACATAAAAAAAATCCCTTGGCAGTTGAAAACTGAAAAGAGTAGCTTAACGACGCTGCCCAGGCAAAATTTAGAGTTGAAAAAATCTACCCACAGTATTTCAGGATCCTCGCCGGTGCTACAGAGCCTATGCACTGTGCTGAGCTTCTTTGGACACGAGTTAGAAGAAGAACAGAGCACTTATGGGTTACTACCCGTGTGCCATGATGTTGATCTGTTGCTCAAACCTTCAGCAGTGTTGTTGTTCAGTACAGTTAAATAAGCATCATTCACTCTGGTATTCATTCAGCCAATCAAACATTATGCCCGCCTGCACTGATGTTGGAACCTGACTATCTAACCAACTAACTTTAGCGCATTAAACCAGTGATTCCCAAACTGTGCGCTGCGGTACCCAGGGAAGCTACGACCTCTTCACAGGGGGGCTGCAAAATATTCGAAGATCCGCAAGTTTAAAAAAAAAAAATTTAATTAAAAAAAAAAACAAGTTTAGTTAAAAAAAGGCACTGTGACTAAGAAAAGTTTAAGAAACGTAAGATTATGCAAACTGTTAAACTCCTCACTTGACAAAGATTTCCTGCCAGCCCCAGGAACTGTTGTCATAGAAACGCATGACTCGGCTGACACGGTCAATGGGTGAGTTTTGAACCTCTCTATTATCATCGTAGACACCTGCAAAATCATAGAAAAAATATATAAATAAAATAAAGTGGTGCCAGTACTAGAAAAGATATCACTGAAGTAAAAAGTTGTTGAGAGGATCGACTTCACTGCAACAGGCATGAAGCAAACAGCTTGACCACTTTGCCATGGAGACCCCAAGAAAAAAAAATATATAATTATCAGTCAAAAAGACGAGACAGAGCTAAAGGCAGCAACCACAAAATCAAGAAGGTGAGAAAGAACCGTCAGACCAGACTGAAGAGATAGGGTGTACACAAGGAGAGAAGATAAATTGTTTCCATACCAATTTTCCCCATTTGGGTTCCATGGGGGATTCACTGTTGAGAAAACAAGAAAAGACTTACTGCCTTCCTAACAAGCATATTGAAAGAGTCGACTAAATGGGGGTTTCCTGCAAAGTCAGAGCGCATCTGTCTGAAGAGGCAAGGAACCAACAGTCTGCATACAAATAAGCCAGATCTAAAAAACTCAATAACAACACTAAAAAGTATTTTATACGAAGTGGACAGAAAAGCCTGTCCCAGAGATCTCGTCCTGGCCTGATGCCGCAAGGTATTCCAGGAGTAGAGAAACGAAGGAGGAAGAGGAGGACAAATAACAGAGAAAAATGTGTTCCAAGAGAACATTTTGAAAAGAGCAAAAAACACTAGCACAATAGTACTTACAGCCCCACTCATCAGCACCATCACTTTTGCAGTCAAGAACCTTGTTGCACCTCTGCTCCGCTGTGAAACACTCGCCTTCTGTGCCAGTGAAACATGGGAAGGCACCGTTCTGGTTGACCCGGCAGAACTGCTCATCTGTAATATGACAATCAACGTTGACATAAAAACTTCAAGAGGTTTTAACTTTGACTGTAAATCAAGCAGTAACTTCAAAGTGAATTTTGAGTTTTACATTTGTAGAAATTTGATATGTGCATGTACTAGTAGTAGCAGTAGTAGTATGCTATACCATACAAGGCATATACCAAAAGAGGAGAAGGACACAGAGCATGAGGCACACCAAGAACAAGATGAGAAGATAACATCAGAGAAAGTCTACAGCACCACTATATGTCTTTGGTCCAAGCAATCAGAAGAGCACGAAGCAGGATCTAATATCTCCCTTGACACCCAAAGCTGTAAAAGAGGACATAAAGAAGAAGAAGAAGAAGAAAAAGAAGAAGAAGGTAGTAGTAGTAGTAATTGAAACAACAATATCCTGGGACATGTAGAGATTTTACTAATTCAATATTTCAGAGGAAAAACCAGATGGACTTATAATCAGACTGCTACTGGTACTAATGGTATTCAAACTCTGCGTTGGCTGCTGAAGATGGGGACAGAGTGCTTACAGGAATGCCCAGAGTGCTGTGTTTTTGGTTTTTGAATCGGCTCAACTCTTCTATTTCAATAATGAATATTTATGCCTATCAATTATGTTTAGTTATTCAATACTGCACAGCTTATGTATTAATTGTATTACATTGTAGTCGCATAGACTGTCAAATTCAATATATTTTGAGTGCACTTAAAAATTTTTTAGTAACTATAATATGCTGTCTATCTTTGTGGACATTTTAAATAATCTGGGATACCATTATTCTGTCTTAAGATATTATGTGTGCACGTACATTCTAATAAAACAATCAATAATTAAAATAAAACAATCAATGTTGCACACACACAAAAAACCTACTGAATAAACGAGGAACTCTTGCATCTGTCAAAACAAGCAAGCCAGCACTCTGAATTTAAAAGAAGAAAAAAAACGAATAATGTAATACAACATTTCAGTTTCCTACAAAATCTTTCCATTCTTTCAACGAGCAGCTTTCAGAATAGAAAGCAACAGGTTTCTATGAAATCTGTGGTGCGTCACATATCTTCCACTGTTCCACACCGCATATGACACAGTATGAGGATATGAAACAGTATGATAACTCTGAATAGGAACTCTAGATTTTTTATGTTTATGCTGTCCAGTTTGTCTCTTCCTCTTTCTTCTACATCTATGAGTGTCAATCAGTACAGTTAAAAGTTAACTGTGTCCTTTACAGGAACCAACCTCAGCATTTTTTTTTTTTTGGGCTGCTGTGATAGTTCTAGGCAAATTTTATATTCAGTAGTCCAACAGTACAACTGTTTTATCATACTGTTAGCTCTTTCAGTACCAGAGGGTTTTCAAAGGAGATATTAAAGTGACTATATAATCCTGATGCAAAATCATGAACGCTTTACTTTCAAAGTGGTAATCTAACAGTTGTAGTACCACTGGGAGTAGACAGATTTCTCTAGTGAGTTCTAACCAAATGGTAAAAGTAAGAGAGCACATTATGCCCTGGAAGGGTATCAAGGGGTAAATTCATTCACACATTAGGTGTTGTTTGGGAATAAAATAGTAAATAGATAAAAGCCCAAAGAAAAACAAGAAAGTCAAGCTGATAGATGACTCAGTCAAGGTGAACTCAACATTACAATTATACTTCTAAAACCTCTCAGAATTTCTAACTAATCTTTTTATGGTTTTATTTCCACACATTAAAATGAATTCTACTTAACACTTCAGAAATCTTCTACTTCTTTCATTTGCTTGAAAAAGAGTATCTATATCTGCAATGTTGTCTCGGGTATGAACTTCACTGTCTTTTGTAATTCACTCAGCGACCCGTAAAGTTTGACTTGCGCCGATGTTTCTATTTCAGAAATGATTGTTTTACCAAAGCAAATTTATTATAAAATGCTTGTACTGAAAATACTTTAATACACAGCAAAAAGATTATCCTCAATGCACACTGAACTGTTCAGTCTATATGTGTGTGTGATCTGATCTTCCCCTCAGCATCTCTGACAGCATGTAACAGCTAACAACAACAATGCTGTGCTAGTTTACTATTCTTCTCCAGCCCCTTGCCCAACCCTCAACTGGCTTCACTCTTTCCTTACATTATACAGTCAAGATCTGGGTAATGGTATCCTCTGTCAAAGAAGAAGGTGTCTCCTGCCCTCCGTACGGGACAGCCTTAGGTAAGGTGGAGTACCCATTTAGACCCACTCCCCTCCCCTCCAGCAAGGGTAACGTGAAACCATGGAAGCTGGTGATGGATTGAGTTTTAGAGCAGCTGACAGATAATTGCTGGTCAAGATCTCAAGTTCACTGACGGTAGGCAGAGGATCACACTACATGACAACGTTTACGAAAACCCACCCAACCAGTATGGTCACTGCCAAGAAGGAAAACAACGGCAAACTACCTTCTTCAAGATGCCAAGAATAGTCTTTATTTCATAACTTACAAATCTTAGATAAATAGCATAAGTGGGTGCTCCTTAGGAGAAGCCTCGTCTGGTAGGGAGAGTCATGTGCAATAGCTGACTCTAGACCAGTGGCTCTCAACCTTCTTAATGCCACGTTTTAAAACAGTTTGCCATGCTGTGGCGACAACCAAACATACAATAACTCTCATTACTACTTCATAACTTTAATTTATATATGCTTTCCAATGGTCTTAGGTGACCCCTGTGAAAGGCAATTTCGACCCAAAAAAAGGCCGCGACCCACAGGTTGAGAACCACTGCTCTTGACCATCATCAGGCAACTGTGAACACGTGTTATCTGTCCATTGGGGTGCTCACCACTAGTCTATTATCTCCTCAGCTTCCATAACTTTCCCATAACTGCCTTAAGTTAACACATAGACATATAAAAAATAAATAAATAGTGAAACAGATTTAATGTCCACAAACTTACGGTAAAGCTAGTGTTGGCATCAATTCCATAATCAGGTCCATGAAAGAATTTGTACTCGTACTCTGTGTCACTGATACGCCACAGGTGTCGGTAGGAGCTATTGGTAGTGGCGTCATACGTCATCAACTCATCAATCAGCTGCAGGAAAATAAACAAATTAAAAATAAACACTCAGAAAAAGATTAGGCTCTATCTATGCAGACGTGAAAGTAAACATTTTGAGTTGAGTTCAGTAAAGAAATGACATCACAGCACTCAGGGCATTTCCATGCATAGCAGTATTATATATTACTTTAGCAGTATTTCATACACTGAACCCACCCCATTTTCTATGATCCTATTCTTATAGCAGTATTGCATCCCTTAAACCCACCTCACCTTCTGTGATCCTATTCTTATAGCAGTATTTCATCCCTTGAACCCACCTCATTCTCTGTGATCTCATTCTCATAGTAGTATTTCATCCCTTGAAACCACCTCATTTTCTGTGATCCCTTCTAATAGCAGGATTTCATCCCTTGAGCCAACATCATTTTCTGTGAACCTATTTGTATAGCAGTATTTCATTTACTGAACCCACCTCATTTTCTGTGATCCCATCACTCATGCCTCGACTGTAAAGATCAAGCAGCATTACACTGAAAGCAACGTAGGAACCAGGATCTGCTTCTGCATTAAACTCAATGGTATCACGGCTGAAGTCCTTGCCTCGATTGATGCCTAGCTTCACCTAAAGATGTAAGACATAAACAATCTTATTAGTACTTCAAACATGATTAGCTTATTAGTACTTCAAACATTATTAGCGGTTCTTTAGGATATTTGTATCTTGTTTGGTTTAATGACAAGATTTAGATTAACATGTGACTTCTACTGACCTTTTGTTTCTATTCATCTATCTGTCTTCTATGTTTCGCTCCTAAAAGGGGGTTATGTTTTGTGGTTTACAGCTGGTCTGGATATCTGCACCTTTCAACCCAACAATTCAAAATTCAGCAAATTCTTAATTCATCATTATCATTAAGTGCCTTGCCAGCTGGCACAGGCGTTCACGCATCTCCACAGATCTCTGTCTTTAGTGTTCTGGATCAGTTTCCCTGATGATATTCCTCCATGCCACTGTCTTATGCCATCCACCATCATTTCTCTTAATTTGCCTCCGCATTTTCTACCAGTGATCTTTCCAGTCGTCACGATATCCTAATTAGTCATATTTAACAACACGCTTGTCACGGCAGCTCTCAAATGTCTGGATTTCTGACCTGACCTAACATCTCAAGTGATGACGTAAATAGGAGGTGACTGCCGTTGAGCTGACTGCAAGAAATGCTGAATATAACACAAAAATTGACTAGAAAGCTTAAAGAAAGGAATGGAAAAGACACACTCCATTATCTCAAACATTATCTTTTATATATTTTAATATCCTATTTTGGTATCATCTTTGCAGCAGTGGTTACAATCACCACCATGTGCGTGATGTTGTAGGCTGTCAAGTTACACCATCCCACAGGATCAACAGAATCACAGTTTTGGTCAGTGTTCTTGCTTTGCTCCCATCCATCTGGCCAGGCCATCTAGGTATTCTTATTCTTCGCGTTCACCAGCTGTAAACTCTGGCGGAAAGTTCTAGTTATTCGTCCACTTCTGGACTGCAGTCTTGTTCCAGAACCTGAGTGTATTGTGTGTGAATCCATTTTACAGATCTGACTCATTTGTATGTAGACTGCTGGTTCCTTGCCTCTTAGACAGATGCACTCCGATTTAGAAGGAAGCTCCCAATTAGTTGACTTTTACGACATGCTTTTGGGTAGGCAGTGGGTCTATTCTTGTTTTCCCTACAAGTGTTATCTATCTTGACAGGACAGTCTTATTATATTTTTCTAACATCCAATGACATCCTTATCAAAAACAACACTTCTGCTGTGAGTAAATGTTTTCAACTTAGTGATATCATCATCATCATCACAATGTCCTGCCAGCTGGCGTAGACATTCATACATCTACACAGATCTCGGTCCCTGTCCTCTTGATCAGCTCTGCCGATGATATCCCTCCGTGCCACCATCCATCTGTCATCATTTCTCTCCGACTGCCTCTTCTACCGCTTATCTTCCCAGTTGTCACAATATTCTCCAAAACCGACCCCCTCATTACATAACCAAAGAACAGTGCTTGTTGTTTTCTCAGATAACATACAAAATAAATATAAAGAGATACAGAGTTGCTTATTATCAATCTGCTAACTATATTCCTTGCCTGATTTTGACGAGTGCCATTGACGAAGAAATTCAACACATCCATGACGACCTCCTCTGGCTGTCTAATGAAATAAACCACCAACCGAGCATTCGGCACCATTTCTCTGGACAGCGCAATAGCAAAGGTTTTTTGTATTGATGTCATTTCCAGTTCATCTCCAATAAGTATGTTACTTTGTGAAACAATCTAGAAAACAAATGGCAAACATTATTGTGTTAATAATTAGCAGTGTTTGATATACAAGGTGTCTGAAATGTAACCATAAACCTATTATCTATACCTACCACCCCCTGGGAGTATCACCCATTTGAGAAACACTGCTCCAACTGCACAAAGAAAATGATTTACTGTCCAGTTTGGAAGGAGGCAGTGAAATAGTGTTTTCAAACCTCATTCTTCAAGAGTCGTAAAAAATATGTTAGTACTAAAAGGAAATCACTTCAGCAATGGTTCAACGGTTAACTGTCTTTGATTGTGGCTTTAGTTTGCAGGAGGACGTACAAGCCTTGTAGAAAACAGTTGGCAGCCATAATGACATATGCAAATTTCACAATGCTGCTGCTTGTTTATTGTGACAGCCAGGTAGATTCGGTTTTATATTATAGGTTAATCAGTTGCATAAACCCCAGAATGGTGCATGCATAACAAGAAATTATTCACCATCCTAAAAGGTCTTTTATTTTATGCGAATTCTTTTCATAAAGAAGAAACAAATGAAAGAATAATAGGAAGAACAAATACAATTTAGGGAAAAATGAAAAAGTAATTCAGAACAGAAAAAAAAAAAAAAATAACATCCAAACCTTCATGAACAAATTCTGATAGTAATTAGGGAACAAAATGAGAGAACTGCACTTGATGATAGTGATGAAGTGACAAGATAAACAAATTATAAACACAGGAAAATAATTATCATGCTATGTACATGTTTAAAATGACATTAAAAAACACACTTTATATACATACCTGATAGTAAATTCGTGGAACAAAATAACTGGTTTTTACATGAAAAATCATGTATTCATTCACCTGTAGCGAAACAAAAAAAATATAGAATGTGGTCATTACAAACAATGATGGCTAGTTAGTTTTTCCCAAACAATATTCACACAAGGAATATCCTTTCCACAACACTTCTCTCATCACAGCTAATTGAAAGACCTATTAATTCACATGTTCTCTTGCCCCACAGACTGTTATGGCTCAATCTTTAATGTCCTGTGTCCACGTGCAGGATGGTCCACCTCTGCCTCTTTTTCCAGGAATCGTTTGTTACTGCTCTAAGCCACACTTACTATTTAGCAACCATAACTAAATATTTCCATTGTAATTTGTCAATTTCCATGAAAAAAAATTTCTTACGATTTATGCATAATTTGAAAGAGATATGTAACGAATTCCTGTCAACGGAGGGTGCTGTTCTTGGTAACCGTGACGCTGACCTTTCATTCATAGCTTCTTGGACTCTTCTGGGTCACAGGGGTGTGAGTCTTCTGTCCGGGACATCTTACGGAATGGCTCAATGAACAGTGACACGCCACAACCTTGCAAATCATCGGTGTCCCCAAAATAATCTAGAATTAGGTCACACCCCCACACCCCTGAGCAGTCCAATGATTTATGAATGAAACAGCGTGCAGTGCGTAACCTAATTTAAACGTCACGGTTACCGTGAACAGCACCCAACGGAGGTAGAAAAAGAACGTACATGTTCTACATTTCAAGTTTTAACATATGGCAGTAAATCCTGGACAATTAGTAAACAAGCCAGAACATGCCTCAAGGTCAAAGGTCTGATTTTACAGAAAAATGCATAAAACTCCTGGGGCACGCAAAATGAATAATCCATACGTTTTGCAGAGGCAAAGACCCGAAGAAGCATCAAAAACATCAGAAAGAGGCAGTCATTTCTGGACACGTTATGAAAAATGTAATATGTGACAACGGGAGCGATTTATTGAAAGAGAGTTAGAGGAAGACAGCATAAGAAGATTCTTGACAAAGTTCAGAGAGGTGACAACAAACAAACAGATACATGCTGTTGGAATGAGTGTTCTGGGTAGGCACGACTGCCCACACAAGTCAGCAGGGCACTTGATGATGACTGTCAAATTCTAATTCTCTATTCAACTGCTAAAATTTAAATCAAAGTTGAAAAACCTAATTGCGTACCTGTGGGTGATCTGTTGAGGTCAAGATAGTAATGAAGGAATTTGTTGGGGAGTAGTACTTCCAGGCATGTAGTGTGATGGGTGGCGTCGTGCCAACCTGAAACCTTGGGTCCATGTAGATGGGAGTATTTCCGCTGTAGGCCTTTCTGGCATCATTAAATGTCGCCTGAAAATAAAAGCTCGTTAAATCAAAGTCCAAATTTTTAAAGTATGCATATTTTCTAAGGTAGCATAAAAATGTCAGTCGCAGACTATCTTGCAGTCATTATCTCCTTCTGTCCTAGGCTACACACCATATGTGCTCAGCTGGTGTCTATGAGTATCTAGGCAACATACACAATGTTACTGTTTATTTCAAATTTGGTCTGAGAAAATAAAAATTGGCCAAATATTTTAAATCCAGCAAATTAAATGCTGTATTTTTGAAAGCCATACACTGATGCCCTTTTCACTGTGATTCTGCACCACTTGGTGATAAACTGACAAGCTGGATGTTGTGAGGGCCCTTTAGGAGTGAGTAGACAGTGTGGAGGCGCAGATAGATCATTACGGTCTAAGTAGACTGGTGCTGCAATGAGTAACCAGGGGCTCGGCCGACACTCAGCACTCAGGAGAAGGATGAGACGGATATACAGTCAGACAGTTACTGGTACCATCGGAACTGGAACTCTTCGCTTGCTGCTGAAGATGGGGACTGAGCACTTATGTGAGTGTCCAGAGTGTTGTGATGTCGATTCTTAATTCATCATAGAAGACACTGCCACTGGGATGTGAAGAATCACATATTCTAGGCCAGGGATGTTCAACTTACTCAGTGAACATGGAGATCATCACGGGTCAGAGGTCAGAGCCATTTGCTAGGTCTCCATGGGTCACATTTGGTCAGCCAGTCACTTGTTGACTAGCACTGTTCTAGACCATGACACATGGTCTGACCATTTCCATTCCACATTCTATAAACTGTTTGGTATCCATGATTATGAAGCTGGGTAGACTGAAATCCAATCTGGTCCGACAAATCATACCATTTCTGGCGTATGAAACTGGACCACTATTTTGGCAAGCAAGTGAACTAGTTACTGTGCCACCGCCTGTATAAAACTAACACATTTTTTCATATACAGATGATCCCTATTTTTTAAGCCTAAAATAATGAAATAAATTTAAACACATTTTGTGTATAAGACAAACCCAAGTTCTTAACACAATTTAAAAAAAAATATAGTCTTTTGCTTGGAAAAATATGGTATTATGTGCTAAAATCCTCTACAGTAATTAAAGATATACAATCATTCTTACAGTTAATAATACACTCTGGGTTGTTGAATCCAAGTTGTACTCAAATTCAGCTATGCCACGGACAGGGGTTCGAGTCTGTGGACCTGAGAGTCGTTTCTGAGCTCCTGCGGAATCTGTGATGATATCAGTTATAGTAATTGTTCCTCCAGTTTCAACTGGCGTGCCGTCGTATTTGGTTACAGCCACCTGAAAGAGTCATAGATTTTCTTATGTGTAGGAATAAGTAAAACTCAAGTGTAAGTGTTGTAACAAAGATAAAAGTTAACACATGATGCAAAATAAATAGCGACAGGTAATTTGCTGGCTATCAAATAATCATAACGAAGAAGGGGAGAGGAGGGGGAAAGAGAGAGACAAAGAGAGAGTGAGAGAGGGAAGAAAGAGAGAAACATAAACTGTTAAGTTATATATATCTAAATTTATTTTCTATAAGATTATAATACTGCTTTGATGAGAAAACAATATGAAGTATAAACGAATTTAACAAATAAGCATAACATATTTTAAAAGACAATTTCACAAAGTGATACACTCTATTTCTGGTTGCTAAACAGTCAAAACCACTATTATTTAACACTTTCTGTAACTAAGCAACTATCAGTTTCCACACCTTCATAAAGTCAATAACTTACTTGAATTTTCATGATCGATGATGGTTTAAATGTCCTAATCTGATCTCCGACCCAAACAAGCTTGTACTTTGAGTTAAACATGATCGTTCCTGCATAACCCGTGCGGTTGAGTCCAGAATACCAGTCAGTGACATTGACAAAAAAGACTATTTCACTGTCCACCAGGGATGCTGACTCTCCTCCTCTCTTAGCAATGGTCAGCAACTCTTCCAGCGTCCACTCAAAGTCTATCCGACCTTGAAACTAAAAAGAATCATAAATATATTATAAGTGAGAATATTAAATAAGTCTGAAAAAGATCTGAAAAAGAAAAACTAATCAAATGGAAGTAATTCAATAAAAAAGGGGATATATATGAAGCAGAAATACAGGCAATCAAGATAGCAAGAGGAAAATTCTGAATATCATTCACCAATACCCGGGAAGGCTAACACGGTCAACACTCTGGCAAAAACAGCTCTCCGGTGAAAAGAAGATGGGGAAAAGGAGACATGGAAGACCTAAGGAAACATGGAGAAGGACAATAGAACGGGAAATGAAGGAATGTAAACTGACATGGGATACCATAGGCAGAAAAGCAGCAGACCGGCAGCAACTTGTGAATGCCTTATGTGTCAACAGCAACATGAAGAGGATATAGAATATAGAATAACATGGTCAACAAATACCCGCTGAAGTCGAATGTGTTGGCCGAAAGGCGCAAATACTTAAGCCATTCTGTAAACGGGCACAGCACCATTACATTTTCAGATGAGTTGAGTTGAGTCAAGAATTGACATCACAGCATCCGGGGCATTCCCATGAGTGCTCCTTCCTCATCTTCAGCAGCCAGCGCTGAGTTCCAATACTGATGGTACCAGTCACAATCTGGTTCTGTCCATCTTGCCTTTCCTCTGAGTGTAGTGAGCCGGCCACACCCTCTGGTTACACCCACGTGCCTCATTCTCTCCAGACCATAACAATCTTGTTTCTCTACTGATTCAGATGAATGCAGAAGAAGAAAAACAAGCCATGTATCACTGCCTGTGGTGTTAACGACAGACACAAAATCAGAAGGTAGGTCCAGAAAAAACATTCACTGAAGTCTGAACTAGGCAACCAGAATAAGGACACAACAGAGTGATTACTGACTTACCCTGTAATACTTAGAAAGAATTGAAAACAAAAAAGCTAAACAATTTCTTGAGGCCTTGGACATATAGTTTTGAAGAAGCATTCACTAGGCAGCCAAATTTCTTCTTCTTCTTCTTGTTCACCGGCTGTGAATTCCGGCGGTAAGTCGCGGTTGTTCGTCCAAATGGACTTTTGGCTTTTACCTCGACCTGAGTTTTGCGTGTACATCCGTTTTACTGTCTTATTTGTTTGCAGTCCTCGTTCCCTGCCTCACCGGCAGATGTACTCCGACTTCGGGGGATGGCAGCCAAATGAACCCAAATGTTTGGAAAGAGGTGATGGCTCGAAGATAGCTTTTCACTTTCACAAACATCAGAGATAGTCATCATTTTTTTTTTGGGTCATATGAGAAGAAGGAAAATGAAAAACATTGTTGACCACTGAGATGATCTGTGGAAAAAGATACAAAGAAAGAAAAAATGAGAACATTCTTCAGCCTTTTGTCATGGCATGCAGGAGTGTCAGCACATAAATATGCCTATGATATCGCTAATTGTGAAGAGGCATTACCACCCACGCCAGTCGGCAAGGCACTTGATGATGATGACTTGAAAGAAGAGAACTAAGCAATTAACTAAGGAAGGTACGACAGACCAGCGCTCCACAAATTTTTTTTTAAACACCTGTGGCCCACTAAAATAGAGGAAAGTATTTCGCGGCCCACCTGGCATTTAACCAAACACAAATGTAGATAGCAGGTTTAATTGTAAAATATGATGTAACAAAATTACAATTTTCAGCTAATGCCACATCTGCTGCTATCTAGTGGTTAGACAAACTGATAAATGCGGCTGCAGCATTGTTTCTGATAGAGGAAGCACTGCAATAACACCTGTTCAATTTCTTTGTGGCTTTAAAACAACAGTTTTATGGGGCTGAATGTGGTTTCCCAGATTTGTTTCTGTTTTATTCTCATTTTTGAGATGTTAACCCTACAGCTCTATCCTGGGAGAGAAAAACTCCCTACCCGACTGTGTTGCATGATTATATAAAAATATCTGGAGGTCCACCTAGACTTTTCAGCGGCCTACTAGTGAGCCGATGCCCATGGGTTGAAGGGAAGAACAATGTGATAGACGAACAATTGGGTGTACCATGTACCAGTTATATTTCACCAAATGAAAAAAAAAACAAAAAAAAATTAATTAGAAAGCCACCAATACTGGCACAAGGTGATTACCATACTAGGGGCAGACAAGAACAAATAAGAAAGCATGCTCTGCAAGTAACAAAGAAAACTCACATATGGAATGAAGCGATATTCATAGGCGAAGTACATATAGTAATCTTTCACTGGTATGTCTCGGACAGGTTTGTACAGTGGCAAATCCAGAGGGACTCCAGACCTAACACCTCCAACATCTCGATATGGCTTCTCCCAGCCTTTAGTTTGATTCCAGATTGCCTCTCGTGGACGGAAGAAAGCTGTGATGGATGCGTTACCCACACAGGGTCTGCCACTTGTATGACTGGAAAATACAGGGAAAAAATGTCAAATATCATGTGCAAAAATAAAGATAAATGGCACAGTATTTACGAAATCATCAACTAAGGTAAGCAAAGAACTTTTCTTAAAAGTTTAATTTTATTACACGGGAAAAAATTAATCAGGGTTAAAATTTAATACACATAAACTGACCCAAATACATCAAGGAAAACTTCTGGCTAAGAGAAACAACGGTGCAAGCCTAACTTTACAGTTCGCTGAAAGAATTACAACCACACCCAAAAAAAGTACATTCATACTAGAAACAACACTGTAGATAAAGATAATCCATTTCAAGAAAAGGAAGAAAAAGAAAAAGAATACACATGCAACAAAACAAATAAGGCCATATTAGAGAAAGTTTTTTTTACTGTAAGGCTCCACACGGAACATGTTCAAGTCCATACACAAAATGGCTCACTGCAAGTGTCGAAATTCTCAAACAAACAAAAATGTTCTGTAAATTTGCCTATTTGTTTTTGGTGACTTGAGAGCTTAGACCTTGTCACATGAGACAAAATTGAAAGAGAAACTGTAGGGAATCCATGGGACGCTCCAGCTGGATTCATAGAGACAACGTACTTTTCTGTTTTGATTGCGGAACATGGAAAAAAAAAAACTATAAAAAGAGACCGTTTGGCTAGAAGCATTTCTAAGAATATCATCATCATGAAGCACTGCTGTTTGTTTGGGTCAACTCTTTATACATGGCATATAATCTTGTAATCACTATCGCTTGTTTGCCTCAAATCTCTGTTTAAGCCACAACCAAGTTGTAATTGTTACGTGTTTGGGTCAAATATTTATAAACAGCATTTCTAGTAATCACTGTTGCTTGTTTGGGTCAAATGTTTATACATGGCATATCTAGTAACCACTGTTACCAGTTTGGGTCAAATCTTGTAAATATGGCATATCTAGTTATCACTACTGTTTTTTAGGTAATATCTTTAGACATGGCATATCTAGTAATTACTGCTGCTTGTTTGGGTCAAATCTTTATACTCAGCATATTTAATATTTATTCACTGTTGCTTGTTTGGGTCAAATCTTTGTACATGGTATTCCTAGCAGTCACTATTGTACATTTAGGTCAAATCAAAAAAAAAAAAAAAAGGCATATCCATTAAAGAAAGTAGATATACTGGGAGGGCTGGGAGAAAAGAAGAAAAACTAAAGAGTGGAATGAAAGGCAGCATTGAGAAAAAGTAAAGGGGAGACGGGAAGGGAAGAAAAGGTGATGGAAAGAGGATGGTGAACAGAAAGACAGAAAAAAAAAAAAACACTTCGTTCTCACAGTTCCCTGTGTGGATCAGGGGCTTCATTTTGGAGAACAAAGAATAGACTCACTGCTTCCCTAACTCACTGCTCCTCTAGCTCACTGCTCCCCTAACTCACTGCTCCCCTAACAATCATGTAGCAGACAACAAATTAGGGGTATTTTCCTTGAGGTCAGAGTGCATCTGCCTGAGAGGCAAGGAACCAACAATCTGCATACTAATAAGCCAGATCTGTAAAATGGATGTGCACATAAAACTTGAGTTCTGGATCAAACCAAAGTCCAGAAGCAGGCAAAAAAAAAAAAAACAGAGTTTACAGTTGGTGAACGTTAAGAAGAAGATTCCCAGAGTGACTTCAGGTCTGCAGACTTACTTGGTGAGGACAACTCCTCTGACCCTGACATCTGGGGTTTCCATGACATATGGTGGGACGGAAACATTGACATCAAATCTGGGTTCCCCTGTAGACGAGAGAATCATGTCATTCACAAACATCACAGATCCTCATTAATAGAAGTTGCAGACAATGATATGAATGAGCACATTCAGTTATGATATGAAACCAGACCAAATCCCCACCAAAACATGTTTATTTTTAAACTGACTGTAACTTCAAAGTCAACGCAGCCTAAAAACAGATAGCAAGTATAATAAAGGCAGATGGTACGATAATTACATCATTTAATGAGTTCCAAGTGGTTTAAATGATGGAGTATGGTTTGTTACTGCTAACATCTCCCGTGTGGGTTCCAGGGCCCTATTTTAGGAAAAACAAGAACAGACCCACTGCCTACCCAAAAGCATGTCATAAGAGTTGACTAACTGGGAGCTTCCTTTGAAGTCAGAGTGCCTGAGAGGCAAGGAACCAGCAGTCTGCATACAAATGACTCAGATCTGTAAAACGAATGCACATGCAACGTTCAGGTTCTGGAACAGGACTGCAGTCCAGAAGTGGATGAACAACCAGAACTTTTCACCAGAGTTTACAGCTGGTGAACGCAAAGAAGAAGAAGAACTGCTAACATTATCGCACACCCAACTACAGAAGCTGGAACACATGCAAAATGAAGCAATGCAAGTCCTTTTGCGATGTACACAGGACATGCTAATTGTGTGCATGCAGCACATACTGGCACTGCTGTCTGTATATGGAAGAAACAATGTGTTAGGAGTCACAACATACAGGGAACACCTTCTACATGAGGCCTTTCAGGGATAACAAGGGGCATCATCTGAAAAGAGGTAGCTCTTGGATGGCATAAACAGAAGTCACTATAAGAAATGTTTGCACTACTGACAAAATGGATCAGTGTTACCCAGCAAAACACCCTAGCATAGAGTGACAGCTACCTTAGGTTCGGGGGTGCTGGTAATGAATAACCAATGAAACAGACAGCAGTGCACGAACTGTTTTATGAAAATTCAAGCCCTGTATGAGAATGGAGGCTGGAGGCAGTAACGATAGCTTTCTGTCGGCTGGAGAGCAGCACCTTTCAACATGTTGTAATTATAACAGACTCACATGACATGCTTCGGACAAATTGTAACTGGTGTCATATGGGTAAAGTGGCTTGCATCACTTGTTCAAACTCAGAAAAAGAGCAAATCATGGATTTTTCTGTCAAGGACAATTAAGTGTGCGGGGTAACCAGCATGCTGATAGCTTGGCTGCTACCGCTCCTCTTTGTGGTGAGCTACTGTATGATAAAGTGGATGTTGTGAAGGCTCTCTGGAATAAAATGGAGAGTGCAAAAGAAAAGACAGTGAATCTTTATAATGGAGGACTAATTTAACAGGGGATGAGTAGAGGCTATGGAAGATATTCAACATTGAGGGAAAAACATTGGCAGACTTTTAATCAGGTTGTACTTTTAATATTTTCTCCAGGCTGTGCCGGCGTCGTGGGTAATAAACAGGCAGGAAAGGTCTGAATCTGCAAGATGGGTGGTGAAAATAATGACAAGGCAAATGTGGTCAAGGCCCTTTGGAAACAAGCACGGAATCAGTAGAGAATCAGATAATTATGGCCTGGAGAGGAACTCTAGGTGTAACAAGAGGGTCTGGCCGGCTCACTACAGATGAGGAAAGGCAAGACGGACATGCAGATTGTGACCGGACCATCAGTACAACTCTGCGCTGGTACTATTAGAATGTTGACTCTTCATTGGCTACCGAGGAAGGAAATGGAGTATGTCTGGACTTCATTGCACCAGGTTTTATCATACATGACTAGGTCAATCTCTCGCAGAATAGCTAGCTGCCTGCTGAGAGCATTACACAAAGCATGAACACCGTAGCTCTGGCGACGGCCCCACAGAGGTCTCTGTAAAAACTGCCCTTGCAGCTGTGAAATGAACCCATGCCTTCAGAGCACAAGGCAAACAGCTTGACCACTTCATCACAGAGACCCCATATCTAGTGAACCAGTGTCATATATTAACAAACTAACTTTACCTTGTTTGTAACTGGGTTTTTTTTTCTCCAGTCCAAACTACGTAGTAAGAAAAACTATTTTAAAATGAAACAACTTACAGAAATCCTCAACACGGAATGGATGCCTGTAAATATGGCCCTGGGAAAAGACATTAATATGACATTAATGTGTGTGTAATAATCATAATTCAGAAACAATCATTAACACTGAAAAATAAAATAAAATAAATGAGACAAGTCGCTAAGAAAATGTTCTGTTAAGGGTTAAAAAAAAAGTCCTTGCATAAGTCGCAAATCAACTCCAGCATTGATCACCCTGTGGGTTCCGGGGCTCCATTGCAGGGAAAACTGAGTAGACCCATTGCCTACCCAACATGTATGTCACAAGTTGACTATTTGATGGCTTTATCTGAAGTGGGAGTAAGTCTGCCTGAGTAATCCAGTCATCTTGTGGGATGCAATTTTTCGTCATTTAGAAGCCCCACCCTGGCTCTTGCCAGGGGCCGCAATATAGCCCGGCCCTAAAGATATCTATTGGCTGAACTCGGTTTCCGGGACCTTTCCATGGTGATCCTCATCCACATGGTGGCACTTTGTGTCACTGGGTGTTTATCGCTTGAACGATGTCCTGGTGGGGTAAAATATACTACTGCTGCTAATCTGCCTGAGAGGCAGTGAACCAAAATTCTGCATAAAAATGAGTCAGATCTGTAAAATGGATGTACAAACAACACTCAGGTTCTGGGACAAGGCTAAAGTCCAGAGGTTTATGAACAACTAGAACTTTCTGCCGCAGTTTACAGCCGAGGAACACGAAGAAGAAGAAAAAGTCCAACATTTGTTGGCTGTGGTTTTCAGTACTTTGTCATTGCCTTCTGTACGATCAATGCTCTCAAATTAAATGAAGAATAATTAGCTGCCAAAGGGCCTGCAAATGAATTTAACGTCTGAATTACGAAGCTATGCTCATAACCCTTAAGACACAAATGTCAATTCACCATTAAGGGTAAGACAAAAATTGTCTGACATGCAGCTTTTGCCTGACTTATTCTGAGTTTAATCTGTCATAACTGTCACAAACCTTTAATCTGATATTTTATTGTTCCTCCAGTATTACATTATTGAATGGGCAAGTATTTTTACCTAGCATGCGTAAATGACTTGCATTAGTTTACTTAAACAGTCTAGGCTAGAATGTTCTACTCCTATCAGGAGTCAGTAAAGAAATGATGGTGGCTAAAGAAGATCCCTCCCCGTGTTGGTTTTGGGATCCCTCCCATTTTGGGCGAGGGGTGGAAGGGGGAGGAGGCCAGAATAGACTTACTGACCCTAACAAGAATGTCGTAAAAGGCTGCCAATGAGGGGTTTGCTAAAATCAGATGTGCTGTTCCGAAAGGCCCATATATCACATCACCATCCCGTAATACTAAGTGTTGTTGGGTCACCAGTTTCTGTTGACTGTCTGATCATCTATCTCTACCTTTGGCGATGGACTTCATGGTTGCATGCCTGAGGCCTGTCCAATCAGTCAGGGTTCTGTAACCAGGTCTTTCTTGGTCTGCCTTTTCTCCTCTTTCCCTCTACTGAGCCCTGCAGTATTGTTTTTGAGAGACCGATAGATCTTATTACATGTCCATATATCATACAGTCTTGTAGTAAACCGCTACATAACATACCAACCCTCTAAATGGCAAAGGCAGAAGAAAAAGAAGACCTTATGTGTAATTCACTGAAATATGACAGGACTTACAAAAGCATCTACTCTGATGTTCCAGGTTCCAAAGTTGGGTTGATCAGATAGATCAAAGTACTGACTTATAATGCCTGTTGAAGAAACCAGCAGATGAATAAACATGTATTAGCCATACAGAACTAGGCAAAATATACATTAAAACTTATTAACCATACAGAAATGTAAATTTAAAGAAGAAAAAAAAAAAAGACAGGACAAATACACAAACAGATTAAGAAAAACATAAGTGGAATTATCTAAGTAGACAAGAGACTCGCCGTGGCTAGATGCTCGCCGCTGATCGGAAGGTCGTGGGTTCACTCCCTTGCAGAGCCAGGCTTTTTTCAAAAATTGACCTTGTTTCCCAGGTCGACCCAGCCTTGAGTGGGTACCGGGTGTAGTTCCGGGAAGAGGAGGCGGCCGGTGTGAAGCTGACAACATCATCCATCTTGTGCCGCTTTGTGTATAAAATAGTTATAACTCAGACCCAACAGATAACTTATTTAAAAAATTAAAAAAAATTAATGCACAGACCAGTCAAAGATGTGCAGGCATCCAGTCTCTTATAGAACCCAAATCAGATGTGTTGAGCTAAAAGGCATAGATACTGCAGTCTAGCTGTAAACCACAATACACTTTATCAAGTGCCCTTTTCAGGGTGAACACAAAAGATAAAGCTTATAGAATTAGGTAGCTGAGGAAAATTCAACAAGTGAACTCACCTCCAGCATTGGTCTGCAATCCCTGCCATCTTCTAACAGGTATGCCAGATGGGTCCTAAGGGAGAAAAAAAAGATGAAAATAAAGCAAAAGAGCATGTGAAAAAGAGTAATAATGTTTTATGGAGAACAGACAAGTACATGGCCAGGACAGTTGTGTATTATGGCAAGGTCAAAAGAGTCAAATAATTTTATAGAATTAGGTAACTGAGAAAAAATGCCACAAGTGAACTCACCTCCAGCATTGGTCTGCAATCCCTGCCATCTTCTAACGGGTATGCCAGATGGGTCCTAAGGGTAAAAAAAACGCCAATAAAGCAAAAGAGCATGTGAAAAAGAGTAATAATGTTTTATGGAGAACAGATAAGTACATGTCCAGGACAGTCGTGTATTATATGCCAAGGTAAGTCAAGATATATTTTACAACAGAAGAATTAAGTTGTTTTACGAGGAAATTAAAGACTGTGTTCAGGAGGGACAAGCAGTAAACTCAACTTAAAAAAAAAAACAACACTTAAAATTAATTTTAAAAAAGGCAACATTTTAAACAAAAAAACATTCAACATTATTTAGCTACCAAAAAGAAAAGCCGATTGCTGATAACTTACATCAATGTAGATAATCATACTCCCATACTTTGGCATCATGTTTGGCAGAATTGGAACAACTCGGAAGTGAACTGTTGAAAGCAGAATTACAAGTACAAATGATTTAAAAACTCAAAGCATCTGGTTGTGGTATTTATAGTTAAATAGTTCTGGAACAAAAGAATGATGAATTAATTTTGTTAACACACTGCTAAATTACACATACAAGCTTGTGTTAATATCACCAATTCAGCATTTGCAATCTGGTTCTTTTTTTTTTAACTGCTTGGCACCACAGTGATCTGATAAGCCACACTTAAGATGTTAAAAAAACAAGAAGATTCCCAACCCCTCTTCAGCCTAAAAAAAAGAAACTTAATTAGGGACCATTCAACTTTTTTTTTTCAAACAACTAATCTTTTAATCATCAGTTAAATATTTCACATGATGCATAATAAATTAATTTAGCAGTAAACACAAAATTAGCATTTAACATATCACCATCAATGCCCTCTTGTGCATTTATATGCCACATGGGGCTCAGTCTATTCCTTCAAAAATTCAATTCCTTTGATATCATGGCTGGAATCTAGTCTAGCATGTATGGTCTCTCTCAGCAACGTCTATTTTAGGTATCTTTTTAGTGTCCTTCTCAACCCCCCAATCCTTTTATTTCCCATTTTAGTGCAAATTTGGTTAATTCTGTGCTCTTTTCTTCCGAGGTTTTGCCCGATATAGCATCTTCTTTTGTCTTATGACTACTGTTACCAGTAATTTAACATATACAGTATCAATTAAACATAATTTTTTCGAAGACGGAGTGCATCTGCCTGAGAGGCAAGGAACCAGCAGTCTGCATACAAATGAGTCAGATCTGTAGAACAGATCCACATGCAACAATCAGGTTCTGGTACAGGACTGCAGTCCAGAAGTGGATGAACAACCAGAACTTTCCACCAGAGTTTACAGCTGGTGAACGCCAAGAAGAAGAATTGAACATGATATGAAGCATACTATGTCCAAAAGTGACAAAGACAAAAATTTTAAACAGCTGCGCATAAAAAAAAAACCAGTATAAGCAATATCAGTTTTACTGAAATATCAGACAGGAGAGATTAGTGATGCTCATTAACATGTGCTTCAGACCAGACTCAACAAAAAATATGCCACAAATGCTTTATTTTATGTCTTCTCCATTCAATCCAGGCAAAGAGATGGTTATTTTTCTTAATTTTTGCTTTCCTTATTATTCCGAAGGTAGTTTTCTGCAAGAAATAAATTGTGCTAAAAAAAAAAAAATTTAAAGTGAAGAGAAACAAATAAAAAAAAAAAATGAAATACACAATCTGTTTTTTAAGGAAGAAAATAGGAATTTCTGAGCTTAATTAGATACTTATTACTAGATACTGATTAGATGAATCAGATGTAGACAGTAAAGATGTATCTACTTACCCCTCTGACCCTGTCTATAAATGGGCCGGCTCATTTGTATAAATAGGGATGCCTGCTTGGTGCTGAATTCAATATCTGTTTCATTTTGCCAGATGTTCCCACCATCTTCTGAATCAATCTTGCCCTCAACTCTCAGCTTGTATCTGCCTTCTGAAGAGTTTGTTGGCATCTGACCAAATATATGAATATTCAGTTTTAATCATAGAAATAATGGGGAATATCTTCTGATAAAAAATAAGAATAGTAATTGCTTCGTCTTCTTTTTTTTTTTCTTCTGCCTTTCTAGCCCCCAATGGAGCATAGGCCCTCAACCAACTCATGCCAAGTCGTTCTATCTATTGCTAACGCATGCAGCTCTCCCCATGTCCTCCCCATCTTTCTAACTTCATTCTCCAGCTCTCTTCTCCGTGTGAATTTTGACCTCCCTTTATTCCTATGCCCCTGTGGGTGCCAGTGCAAAGACATTCTAGTTATATTGTTCTCCGGTTTTCTCAATGTGTGCCCTATCCAATGCCAGCGTCTTTTCTTTACCTCTTGGTTCACTGGACCTTTTTTAGTTCATTCCCAAAGCAGTGCAGTAATTGCTTACTATAGAAAAAAATGAACACTTTCTGTAAAACTTTAGTATATTCAAAACATACTCAGATAATCTAGGAAAAAGTGACATCCAACTAATAAAACTTAACAGCATATTACATTTGGTGAGATTACTAGATTGTTCTGATAAAATAGAAAAATACAGAATATTTTATGAAACACACAAAATGGAAAGAACTGAGAAATAAAGTGATGGACGAAAATGATGCAATAGTGCACACCGATGGTTCTGTTCATGGGGGTGTAAGATCTGGCGGGGGGGATTTTCAGCTAGAATAAAGGGAAATATTGTGGCAGTCCAAATGGTGCTTTTTGTTGTTGTGTGCAACTTCACTCATGAGGATGGCTAAGGAGGCAATCACTGCAGCTCTGAAGTGAAATGTAGTAGGTAATGCAGAAGGTTCAAAATGGACAAATGTGGCATGAGTGGAAACGAAACATAAAAACGTCAATTTTACAGGGACTCATGGGGATATACTGTCCAGGATATGCAGAAGTATAAGGGAATGAAAGAACATATTTTTTTGGCTACAAAAGTGATAGTTAAATGAACACTCATACTCGACAAAGGAGGCATTATAAAGACCATTTACTAACCATTGCTGATAGAAGTCAAGAAGTTAGATAAACGAAAAAACAGGTATAACAGTGGTTCTTAACCCACGGGTCGTCTAAGACCAGTGGGAAACATATACTCACGGAAGTTATGAAAAAGCAACAAAAATACTGTATGGTTGGGGATCACCACAACATGAGGAACTGTATTAAAGGGTCATCACAACATGAGGAACTGTATTAAAGGGTCATCACAACATGAGGAACTGTATTAAAGGGTGGCTGCATTAGGAAGATTGAGGACCCTTGATGTGTCAGAATTTGTGAATGTGGAATTAGGTGTGAATCCGGCAAGAAGAGACCTATGTAGAATGAGAAAGATGTGTTTATAATCAGCCTGCTATGGGGATAGTTAGCATCTACACCTTAAGACACCTTTTGCTGCGGGAGATGAAGCCTTTATGGGTATGCCTGGTGTGCTATGATGTTGATTCTTAAATCAGTAATCAGTTCACCAGAATCACACTTACCTGCAGTTGCATGATGCGACTTGACGGCCTGTCAAACCGCAGACCTGTGCTTGCATACTCCTGACCATCCTTGATGATGGAAATATAAACCTGGACAGAATCCTGGTTATAATCCATGCGAAAGATTGATGTAAACACCTGGTACACCTGATTAGACCTGATCTTCTTGGGAGCTATAATCATGTACTGGCTGTGAATGATAGGCAGGAAAATAAATGTTCACACCGAAACATTTTCAATCTATTTCTACTGATACACGAAGCAATGCTTTTAAACGAAAGATTAATTCAACAGGCAGACATAGCACTACTCTTCTGATCTAGCAACTGTGTTCCAAACATACTGGTATTACCTATCTGCTGGAGTTAACAAAGTAGATCAAGAGAGGGATCATACTGCAATGGCAACCCCGCCAACAGGATCGCTGATAGACAACTATGTCGTCGATTGAGACGGTATTTGGACTGTGTCCTTTCTTCTTCTTCTTCGTGTTCACCAGCTGTAAACTCTGGCGGAAAGTTCTGGTTGCTCGTCCACTACTGAACTGCAGTCCTGCTCCACAGCCTGAGTGTTGCGTGTGCATCAGTTTTACAGATCTCATTCTCTTGAATACAGACTGTTGGTTCCTTGCCTCTCCGGCAGATGCACTCCGACTTCAAAGGAAGCTCCCCAATTAGTCGACTCTTACGACATGCTTTTGGGGAGGCAGTGGGTCTATTCTTTTTTTTTCCCCCACAATGGTGCCCCGGAACCCACACGGGGGACGGTGTCCTTTGATTGCATCAACACTGCACGAGCCCTTTTCAGGGCAACTTGGTGGCAAGTAATGCTAAGCTATTTTATATGGCGCATATAACCCACTCACAATTATAACCTAAAGCTCCCTCTTCAGGGATGCTGGTTGAACGTGATGATTTGTTTTTCCTCCAGCAAAACCTGTGGGGAGGAGGAACTCCATTCATGGCCTTAAATAGCATTGCCATAGGCTGTGATTCCAATGCCTCTTTATAGCACAATGTAACACTATTGTCTAGAACAGTGTTTCTCAAACTTGTCTTAGTAGCGGTGCCTTTTTTCAATTAACATTTTTTCACGGCGCCCTAACCCAAGTAAACGTATGACTATTCGTGTGTAAGAGATTTAAAAAAAAAAAACTTGTGTATCTTCTAATATTTAGCGGCGCCCCTGTGAAGAGGTTGCGACCCCACGGGGCGCACAGTTTAGGAATCACTGGTCTAGAAAGATGGAAAGTGCCATTAACACTGGAAGTAGATAATCCTAATTCCTTGAGTACATTAAAATAGATGGTAACTGAAGTATCCTATGACAATGGGAAAGTTTAAGTGAGATAGGGGAAGATCAACAGAGAAGATGTTAGACAGTCTAGTATCATGGCATGGAAGAACATCTGAATCAATTCTTCTTCTTCTACTCCTGCGTTCATTTGAAGATGTAACTGTGTTGTGCCCTTTTACAGCATAGTTGTGATTTTTGCGCCTTTCGGCCGATACATCCTTCTTCTGCAGGTATTTGTTGACCGGGTTAGCCTTCCCAGTTAGTTTTGTGAGATGCTGCAGTGTCAGTATTGTGTGGCCATTGTTGTTTCCTAGGTCAAAGGTGGTGTCCAACATCGGGCTGGTCCACAGAAGCCATGTAATGCTGATCAGCCCTCAAGTAAGAGAAGGTAGGGACAGAACACAGGTAATCCCTGCCATCCAATATGGCTTCCATAAATGTAGAGCCAATACACAAAGTTCTGGTACTTGGCTCACCAAAGGAACTATTTCTTTCTTTTTATTTTTCTCTAACAGAAGCATATCTGCTGCAGTTCTCAAGGTCTATGCCTCTATTCTAAAAGTGCTTGAGAAATTTATGGTTGCAACCGACTGTTTTCCCTGATAAATTTTTCAGATTCAGGATAACCCCCACCCCCCCTCCTCCACCCCCATCACCTATTGAGCTTTATGCTGACCTATCTGTATAAATAAATAACTACGGAGACAACTAATTCTTTTCTGTGAGTTAATTAAAGAGTGGCAAGCCTCGCTCCAGGGGTACCAGGTAGTTAGCATCATTATGATATTTTCTCCTGGATGTGCAATGCAAATGGCAGAGAAATAGAAGCCAAATGCCAGAAAGCAAGTGCACTTATATACTAATTGTCACCATTATTAAGACATCCAAGCATAACTATGAGTGCAAAGAGACAGATTATTAGTAGCATATTCATTCCAACATTAAGCTACCAGTGCCAAACATGGACACTGTCTAAAGCCCATATACGTAAAATCACCACCTGCGAGATGAGGTGCCCGAGAAAAGCAGCCAACCTAACCATACGAGATCGAGTGAATAATTAAACTATCAGGCTAATTGTGGGAACGACACCTTGTACTAGATTCATCGAGAAACAGCAGATCAAGTGGTTTGGCCATCTTGTTAGAATGAAACAAGATCAAATACCATAACAAGCACTACATCTCAGAAGATCAACTACAAGAGCAAGAGGACAGCCGCAAAAAATATGGATCGACAACATTAAAGACACTTTACGCCTTCACGGTATTACAATAGCCAGTGGCAGCCAACGTGCACTGGATCGCAAATTATTCCTCCCCACGACGCTTAACGGCAGAAGTGGTTTATGATGATGATGCAAACGTACTGGGAAAAGAAAAGACAAGACTGGCTGGTGCTGCACTACTAGGAATGTATGCACGACCTGCTTCATGTGATCGAGGTGCTTTGGGAGCAAGTGAACAATGCAGAAATGCAAACAGATCATTACAAATACAGGCGAGACAGAATGATGCAGCGAGGGGGTGACCAAGGGAATCTGGATGACACTCAATACTTAGAGGAAAGGGAAGGCAGACATACAATCAGTCTACTACTGGTACCAGCTTTCTCTTCTTCTCAGCGTTCATCGGCTGTAAACTCTGGCAGAAAGTTCGGGTTGCTCATCCTCTTCTGGGCTGTAGACTTGTTCCAAAACTTGAGTTTTGTGTGCACACCTGTTTTACAGATCTGGCGTATTTGCATGCAGACTGTTGGTTCCTCGTCTCACAGGCACGTGCACTCCAAGTTTAAAGGAAACACCATTAGTCAACTTTCACAACATACTTGCTTGATTGGGGAGGGGGGGGGGGGAGAAGACCAGTGGCTCTTTTCTTTCTTCCTCCTAAAATGAGGTCCTGGGAAACAGAGGGATTTTACCAACAGAAGTGGAACTTCACTGACTGCTGAAGGTGGGGATAGAGCACATTTGTGAATGCTGTGATGTTGATTCCTAATTCAGCTTAACTCAACTTTGTGATTAAATAGCAGCATCATTATGCCTTCTGTCTGTTCTGGTTTTCTTTGTTTCTTCTTCTTCTTCTTTTGTTCGCTTGAAATAAATTATCTGTAATGTTGTCTCATTCTTGTTTAAAAACACAGGCAATCCTACATTAACACAAAGCTTTTCTGTTTCTGGTGACATTTTAAACATTACATAAAATACTCCCCACTGCAAGTAACAACAATCATGGACTAAACTTCATCATGCAAAGGAAATTATACACTAGTTATTTTAAGCAAATAATGATGCAAACAAAAAGAACACAACAAAAATTGTTTGAGTACGTACGGTTCCCTTGCATAGAAACATCCTGCAGATGCATCAAGCAGGCAGTTTTCTTCTCTTGGTGGTTGCACAACTTGACAAGAGGCATAGGCTATATAAACTATAAAAAATGCCAGATGGGACCACATTTTTGGTACCTGAGATGACAAGAAAAGTATCTGTCATGTAATAAAGTTAGGAAAAATATAAAGTATATGTCTGAGTGCTTTTTAACATCCTACCCCAAAGAGGGGAAATCCACAGGTCACGGGACAGTCTAATATTTCAGGGGGTGGTAGATAGGCTGCATGCAGTCGGGGGATCTAGCTGCACTCTCTTGTGGGATGTAGGTGGGTTGAGGTTAGAGCTAGTTCTAGATGTTTTGGGGTCGTTAAAAGCCTCAGAAAGCTGGGAAACCCAGTCTTAATACCCTCTAAAATGTTGGACTGTCCTGTGACGTCGTCTGGGGTAGGATATTCATAAAGCACCTATGTCTGCTTTAAATAATCAATTACAATAAACAAACAAAGACAACTGCAGTGATTAACCTTCATCAGTAGAATGATGACAAGAAATAAAACATAAATATGAGCTGACTAACATAACTTTGTTATAGTGTTCAAATACTGTGTAAAAGCCAATATAACAAAGCAATGTAATAATACTCAGTTCGCAAATTTAGGCCATTACACAGAGCCATTTTTAACATATGGCTGTAAAATCTGGACAATTAATAACCAAGCCAAACAATTTCTTGAGGTCTCAGAGATTTAGTTTATAAAAGAATCCTCAAAATGCCTTTGAATGCACACACACACACACACAAAAGAAAGAAAGAAAAGAAAAAACAGCAACCTAGATGTTCTGAAAAAGGCACGGGCTTGAAAGCAACTTCTCATAAACATCTAAAAGAGACATCATTTTTTTGGTCACGTTATGAGTAGAAGGAAATTGCAACTTGTTCCGACCACCGGAAAGATCTGTGGAAAGAGAGGAGACAACATGAGAAGATTCTGAACAGCCTTTTGTCATGGCATGCAGGGGTGTCTACACAGGAACTTATATACACAGCTGCAGATCGCAGATTGTGGAGAGGCATGATCACCAACGTCAGTCATCAAAGCACTTGGTGACTAAAAACTTCCCTTAGAAATTTACTGTAACAGATATTATATAAAAATAGATATAATAAAGCCATAGAAAAGTAAGAATAACAAACTATGTACCAGTTGACACCCATTATTGCAAAGGAAAAGAAAAAAATGACAAAGAAGAGAACAAAATTGAAGACTAGACTGCAATGAAAGCCCTGTGTGATGTATACTGGCACATAATGATGATATGTACAAGTAGTGCATTCCATTAAAAATAAACTTGTCCAGTTCTTTCCGAAGCAGTTACTTTACACTAACAAATGTTTTATTCCAAAAGATTTTAAATAATAACTAAAATGTTTTTTTTTCTTCTTCTCGTTCACCAGCTGTTAATGTCGGCAGAACATTCTGGCTGTTAGTCCACTTCTGGACTTGAGACTTGATCCAGAACTTGAGTTTTGCATGCACATCTATTCTACAGATCTGGTTTTTTCATATGCAGACTGTTTGTTTCTTGCTTTTCAGGCAGATACATTCTGACTTTGAAGGAAACCCTAATTAGCAGACTCTTATGGCATGCTTGTAAGGAGGGCAGTTGGTCTATTCCATTTCTGCCACAATGAGGCCCGGGACTCAAACAGGAAGTACTGCCATTTAATCTTATCTTCTCTACTCTAGAACTTTAGCATATTTTCCATTTTCACAGGCTTACTGCCTGCAGCTGGTCATATATTCATTAAGGCATACAAAATCACATCTAGTTTGAGAATGGAGGTGGAGGCAGTCACTGCTGCATTCCACTGGCTTGAGAATCAGCTATACAGAGCATGCTGAAAAAGGTGGAGACAGGTATGCTCAGTGCAGAGTGGCAAGCATCACTTCAGAGGTCCCAGGTAGATAGCATCCTTTGGATATTCTCTCCAGTTTATGCCAGTGTGTTGGGAAATGAGCAGGCAGTCAGACTGGCCAGTTCTGCACCACTTGGTGGTGAACTGATGTATGACAACCTAGATGTTGTATGGGCACTCTGAGAGCGAGTGATCAGTGCGGAAATAGATCATTACGTCTGAGGAGAATAGAGCTGCTAGGAGTTACCAGGGGATCTGGCCAATGCTCAACACTAAAGGGAAAGGCGAGACGGATATACACCCAGACAGTTACTGGTGACATCGGAATTGGAACTCTTCGTTTGCTGCTGAAGCTGAGAACGGAGCGCTCATGAAAGTGTCCTGAGTGCTATGATGTCAATTCTTAATTCAACATTCAACTACATTTATTCTTGCAATCTAGTAAATTTTTTTTTTTTTTGGCCCTACTGCTCACACCGTAAAGCATAGCAGAAAGGAGTTAGATGAAGTTTCGGCTCTTCTTTCACTACAGGCTTAATGGGAGTTATCTCCCTTGGCTGCATTGCAAACACGGAACGGAAAAGTCATGAATCAAAAAAGACAATGAGGTCGACAACAGGGCTGCCAATGCTTGGGTGTTTCCCCCAGATCTGGGTGTTTATTTGACGCTTCGGGGGAATTCTGGTTTTTTTTTTTTAAGTAAATATATCCTTAAATAAAAGTGGTATTAGTTGCCACGGATGTGACTCCTGCATATCTGTGTGACATAATGACCGATAAATTTGCATGGTTAGGGGTAGGGTTAGATGTGACAATTGTGACACAAGAGTTCCAAATAATCGTGCACAGTCACATACGCACCCAAACAATCGACGGACTGTGGATGCTACTCTACTGGACAAGTCGCCACCGATTGGGCACCAGCAGCGTGCTATTGCCGTCATATTTGGGAGAATTCCAGTGGCGCCACTTCCACAAGCATCAGATTGTCTGCCATTATTTGGAAATCCTACGTCAAAATTGTCACATCTAACCCTACCCCTAACGCCGCTACCCCTAACACTACGCAACCGTATGATGACTACGCAACTGTATACGCAACCGTATGATGTTAGGTAAGTATGTCATTTGATTCGTGACTTTTCCGCTCCGTGTTTGCAATGCAGCCAAGGGAGAGAACTCCCACTAAGCCGATCGACGGCTTTCTAGCTACCGCCCTGTAATGAAAGGAGAGCCGAAGTTTCCTATCTTTTGCTTGTTGCTAGCTTGTGTTAATGTCCCACTATGTTTCTGTGGTGTCTCTTTTACTTTGCTCACTTAATCCATCTCTTCCTTGATCAGCCTCTTGCCTTGTAGTCTACTGTTCTCATGTAATTGTATTTGTAGTATGCCTTTTTAGATGCTGTGTGTGCTTATGTTCCATTCTGACTACTAGATGATCAAACTATTTGATTCTTTGATGTACTATGAAATCATTTTACCAGTACTGTGCCTACCACTGTTCTTAAAGCAAATACTGGATACTCTTTTATTTTTATTTGTTTCTGAGGTGTCTTCAGTTGAAGTGAAATACTAAAATAAACCTGTATAACTTATAAGCAAGCAAGTGTAGATTAGCTAATATATGAATGCGGCTTCAAACTGAACACAAATCGAACAATAAAAGTAATTCGATTGTCTTAATGGAATTTTAACTTGTATTTCTCACTGAAACATGAAACACTGAAAATTGGACGAACCCATCGGATCACTTACAATATGCTAAGAAAAAGTTTTTATAAAATGATCAAACTAGAATAAACTGATACAAAAATATAATAATTGTGTTTAAATTAAAAATTAGAGTTAAGTTGGGCAGTCAATAAATGACAGAGAACACGATAAAATATCATTTTGGTGTTATTAAACTGTCATTTCCTGGTTTCTCACCTGCACCGCCATGTTGTCACAATTTTGTCAACTTTGAGACGTCAAATAAAAACGTGAGCTTCCCAAATTATGACCAATACAAAGCCGCGCCAAAATTGGAGTAAAGTACCGAATTAGGTGTATAAATATGATAAAATGTATGTTGTCGCACAAGCCAATTACTAGACAAACTAATTTAGCAGTTTTGCTCACCTGAAGTGGTCTACTTAGGATACCTGTTGTGACACCATTAGACTCTGAAGCGTCAAGTTCAAGGACTTTGTCATGCATGTTTCTCCAGCTATGGCAGTCACTTTCGAATTATGCTTTTTTTTTTTTTAAAGCAGGGAATAAAATAAAGATTTGGCTTTAAAAATATACTATTGCTTATCTTTATATAAAAATTGTTGCATGCATTTAAAATTAAATAGTAAATTGAGATATGTTGCTAGGACATATACGTATAGTGTTATACATAACTGTATAGTATTTTTTCACAATAATTTTAATGAAAATTAACTGAACATGAGATATTCTTTTTTTCCTTTTTTTTTCTGAAAAGAACAGGTAGAATTAAGAAAAGGGCAGCAATATAAGTTGTTTACAGTTATATTACAATGTTTATTTAATTTAATTTTATTTAAATTGTCTTTAGAATGTGTAAGCAATTAGGCATAACGATTATTTACAATTGCATACAAATGATTACATGTATATATAACGCTTTTTAATTTTTTACTCAATTTACCAACTTCTAGTATTGTGAAATAGATGCAGTGGTTATCATTTATTGCTTCCTCTGATTTTATAACAGACATCAGGCGGTCAAAATTTTGAATTAAGAATCAACATCACATCACTCGAGACACTTCCATAAGTGTTTAGTCCCCATCTTCAGCAGCAAGCGAAGAGTTCTAATTTCGATAGTACTAGTAACCGTTTGATTATATATCTGTCTTATCCTTCCCCTGAGTGTTGAGCGTCGGCCAGATCTCCTGGTAACTCCTCGCAGCGCCATTCTCCTCAGACCGTAATGATCTATCTGCGCCTTCGACTTGTTTACCCGTTCCCAAAAGGCCCTCGTAATATCTAACCTGTCATACATAAATTCACCACCAAGTGGTGCCGAGTCTGCCAGTCTATCTGCCTGCTTATTTCCCAACACACCAGCATAACCTCGAGAAAATATCTAAAGGATGCTAACTACCCGTGACCTCTAAAGTGATGCTTGCCACTCTGCACGAAGCATGCCTGTTTTCACATTTCTCAACATGCTCTGTGAGTCAGTAACAATAACGGCATGTACGT